CAATTCCGTATAAAACCTTCATGTGCCTAATCAGTAACATTCTTCAAAAACCAAATTAAAATCTTGAAATTTTTTTCAGATAGAATTCTTGGATCTGAGTGGGAACAATGTCACCATACTCGGAGGTGAAGGATTAACAACAATCAGTGAAATTGTTCATCAATGTCAGGTTAAAACATTGAGGATGAAATATTGTCACTTTGACAATCACAAGTTGGAAAGATATAAAGCATTGATTGCTGATTCTGGGGTTGAGGTCTGGGCTAATACTTGAGTGAATGTAACGATGAGGAAACAATTAAAATCAGAAATCGAATCATATTATTTTAGTGATGTTCTTAAAACATATGAGAAGAAAGTTAATGAGGTGGCTCAAGTCCTATCCAGTTACCATTCCACATTATGTATTAACAGTTTCGGATGCATGGGCTTGGATGAGTATCAAAACTCAAACCAACCAAGGGTGACATGAACCAAACTTTGATGACAATTAATCTAGCAATCCTCTCACACATTATTGTACCTCACTGGAACTTGTGAACCTATGCAATGAATACATCACGACCAGTAAACGATCAGTGGTTTTTTACTATCTCTCCTCCCAGTGATCACCTACTCTTAGGTCGAGTTCTCACAACCTTGTTTGAGTCAAATCACATGAAAACTTTCCAGTAATTTGTTCAAAATAAAATGATAACTAATTTCCCTCATGTTACATCGTAACAAAAATGTGACTCACCATGGGCCTCAATGTAACTCTGGTTGGTTACTTCATCCAGTTATTCCTCTAGTTATTTTGTTCCGTAGAATGTCCTTTTATTCGTCTTTTCTGTACAATATCTTATTAATGTACATTCTCCTAGATTTAATTTATTTCATTGTAATATTTTTTTTTGTATTTCAATTATGTCATACTTTATTGAGCGCCTGTATTTCCCAGACTTGGGGAGGGGATCATGAATATTAATAATAAATAATCATGGGTCAACACATGTGATTTATTTTCATATCTGTATTAATAAGGCACACAAACATTGTTTTAGTTCATTTTCAGATCTTCTTTACATACATTACTTTTCCACTTGTATATTTCACCGTTTGTGTTGATAATTGAGTCAAATGAGTGTATATACACGAATATATATGAATATATAAATATGTATATCTTTGCGATATGTTAGCTTATTTATCAGTACCGCTTCCTGTTTATTGTTGTTGATCGTACTTTGTTTCCAGACAAACTACATTAAAAATTAAATTTTAGACGGTCTGCCAAATATATGTTTTTAACCACAGCTGCCAGAGGCCACCAGCGAACAAGGGCATATCCATCCCAAAACTAGGGAGAAACGGTTATTTTCCCCCCCAATACTACGTTCACTCCGAACAAGGCCAGGTACAAGCAGTCACTGATATTTAATAGTATTTTGAAGAATCTCTCCACAGACTTGCTTGCTGTCAAAGTTATCCAAGCAATACAAGCGCATAATTCAGTTAAATCTGGTGGTTTGTTTGGTAAGTTAGGTGCTTCCGAAGTATGTGTACCAAAATGGCGCACAACCTGAACATAGTATGTGTACCAGGTTATGGTTCAGGTTATGCGTCATCTTGGTTCACATACTTCCGGGAAGCCGTAATATAGCCAAAAAACATTGGGATATCGTTGAATCGCTCACAAATAGAGGAAAATTGTGTTGGAAAAGACTTATGATTTTGTGCAAATGCTACTAAATCTCTTTTCAAAATAAAACACATGTAGAAAATTTTGTAGAGAGGAGGATAGTCGGACTCAACATCAACAAATGCCAGTGAGACTTGTACTCAACTAACAGCCAGTGCAAGTTAGCTCAGTCATTGACTCGACTCGGATGCCTCGTTTAGAGATTTTTACTCAACACTGGTTATAGATAGTCAGAGAAGCTTTGAGAGGGTTCAACTTATTAAAAGAGAAAAGTAATATTCTTATTAGGCAGAGACATTCTTATTTCTGGGTTAATCCTGCATTAAAATTCAACATTTTTTTTATGAAAAATATACTGGCATTGTATAGTTAAAGCCTAATATAGAGCACAAATAAGCATCATATAAAAAGTGTGGTAAAGGAATAATAAAACTAATAATACATTTTGCATAAAGACTTGAGTGCATAGGTGTGGTGGACAAGCAGTTAAAACTTTTGATCGCAAGTTAGACATATCAGGCTCAAATTCCCATATCCATCACCCCACTAAGGGTAATTGGGTAAGCAATACCAGACCAGAAAGATTACAATTCTTCCAAATAGAAGTAGCTCCTAACGTACCATTAAATATCAGTAGCTGCTTGGGCCTTGTTGGAGCGATGAGCGTAGACACCCGCATTTGGACACCCCTGGAATAGATACCCCATGGTATCCGTCCAATAAACTTAAACTGTCCCTAGCATTATTAATTTGAAAAAACGTCTTCAATTCATTATGGCAAAATAATTTCAGTAATCTTTATACAATTTTTTATACTATACTCAAGTTAGAGTTGACCCGACGGGCATTTTATTGTCTCGCAAATGCTATTTCATTATTTTTTTTGTTTAATTATTCTTGCCTTTCTCTGTTTAGTTTATCTACCTACTCAACCACATACAACAATAATGAAAACAATATCCACACACGCTAGGAAATGTTATAATGTCACATACAGCCCTGAAATGATGATGTTCGATATCCCTCAAAGTTTTTCACATGCTCCAAACTAAATGGCATGAAATACTCTATCTATAATTTGTAGCAGGTCTGGGTCGTACTTTCAAATTTCAATCAATCAATTTCAATATCATGTTGCTCACTCTAGGTTCCCAAACCGCGGCCCGCGGGCTAAATCCGGTCCGCGTAACGATTTTAAATGACCCGCCGAGCTTAAGTGAAGTGGTGTGCAACAGAAAACATTTAAAGGGGGGGGGGGACTCGACCCCGAACTTGTACTCGCACGGAATTGGGGATCCGGGGATAGTTATTATACGTTCACTGGCGGCGAGATTCTAAAGACAAATGAAGCAGTAAATCCGCGACCTAAATTTTTCGATTGAAAAGCGGCAATATGAAATACTAAAAATAAAACCGTGAAAAATATAAGTTTTGTTGAAGTCCACGATAGTCTGAAAACGCTTTTCTAGGCATTGAAAATCGCAAAAAGGTGGCTACGGCATACATTAAGTTTCGTCGGCGGTTAGAAACATATCGTCACTAAACTCAAAAGACGGTTTTTGTTGGCGGGATTTGCCTTTTTTATCCTTTACTTCGAATTGGCGTTAAAAATCTTTGTAATAATTAACATTAAAGAAGGTTGAGGTTTGTGATGGTTTATAGAATAATTATTGTAAAGTATATTCGATCCATTTTTATTATACTGAAAAAAATTTTACTGCGTGAGATTTTACAGCAGATTTACGGTTTTTCGAAAAGTTTATCTTTAAAAATAATTGGAGTGCCAGCATTGCGGTTGAGCGGAGTTGAGTGTTATAAGTATATCTCAAATTTTTTGAATTCGCAAAATAGCAAAAATACGGATCAAAACAATATATAATCGGACAGTTTAATACACATTTTTCTGCCTGCCAATTGCCGTGGTGTTTTAGAGTGGCTCTTGTTTTGTCGACGCAACTGCAGGTCCAACTGAAGACAATTAAATTAATACAGATATATGCTATATTTTAAATATTTTATATCCACAGATCGCCGTGGTATTTCAGTATAGATAGTATGTTTTTATTTTGACGTAAGAAGTCACAACCGCGAGTTACGTGGACACAATTAAATTAATATATAAGGACATTTTAGAATACCGTAATTTTCATAGACTAAATATTTTACGCGACAGAAAAATCATTATTCGCTGAAAAGGCGGCTCTGTTAACGAGCGTGTAATCGCGGTGACTTTTACCGACGGCAATGGAAATTTCCGATTTTGACCCCTCCCCATGAAAATCCTGGCTGTGCGCCTGATCCCAATTATTCAATTATTCGCACCGGTATTAGGATTACATACGACAGTAATTTAGTTATGAACCATGTAAGTTTGGACATGTCTAGACAAAACTAGACAGACTCCAAAAACAGACATTTTTTTGATAAATGGCAGCAGTGGTGAATCCACTGAATCCCAACTAAACCATCTCGCATTTCGGGCGCTACACTCTTCCAGCCCGCGAACATCCCTCCGATTTAAATTTTGGCCCACGGACAATAAAGTTTGGGAGCCCCTAAGTCTAGCATAAAATAAAACTACAACATGCGGACAAACAAAATGCAGAGGACCTGGAAGATGAGAATAAGATTCAGATATTTTATTTTTATCATGCAAGAAAAAGTAGGTGTATAACGAATTATAAAATATTGAAATATACACATATATAAGGAATAACGTCAGAGATTCATTGCAATTGATAAGGGGTCGCGAAGGACCGTACAGTATTCGGGTCAGCGACACCTAATGGCTGATTAATTTAGAGCGTAATTACCAAAAATAAACTGATTTAAATGTATCACAAAATGCAAATCACAAAATATCACTGGGGTAGTGAATGATGCAGGATTGCCTTGCCTGTTTCAAATGTGCATTACAAACCGTAACAAAAAATGCTTATTAATATGGATAAGCAAAAACTTTAATACAAAGTTAAAAACGTGAAAATACTCGTCAGTTCACCAAAAACAATCGAGGGACACAATAAAATAAACATACACAAGCATGTCCAGGGTCAGAATTTTGAATTCATCGAAGTTGGTATTTTAGACTATTAAACGGTGATATTCAAAATTTTTCACATGAATTTAGGAAAAAAATAATTGGATTGAGTGTTCAACAGTCTTACAAAATAACTTGCATACGCTTAAGTTTTTGGTATCAAATATCGATTTCCACGGGAGTTCAGAGCTGGAATCGGAGATGAAATTTTCGTCAAACCAGATTCTAGTTAATTGCTGTCCAAGTTTGCATTTGCTGTCCAAGTTTGCAGATGTTATTGTAATCTTTGATTAGACTGAAAGTACGATAGCCTACTACCTTCTGTACTATTATTGTACGTGGATCTTACTGGATATACTATCTGCATACCTACCTAATTTTACCTTGCAATCAATCACACTACTGCACTAACGTTACTTCAAGATGAACAAGGAAGTCCAAACCCAGATTCTGGCAGCTATCTCATCTCTTCAGGCCAAGCAAGAAGAGCTAATGTCACATGCAACTCTATTATCTGCCTCTAAAGACCATGGCAACCAGTCCCAGGATATCAATAAGTTCCAGAATGACGTGGCTCAAATCTCCTCCAAGATCCAGGAGATCAGTGTTCACTATTAGCGCACTTTTTTGCGAAAATTGCGAAGCACTTTCGCAACTTTTTTTAGGGACTGCGAAATAGCACTTTTTTCCGATTTTGAAGAGAAATAGCACTTTTTTTCCGATTTTGAATGGAATAAAAATTCAAAGTTAACAAATATTTTCGAGTATTAAGTTGACAAATAAGTAACATACTAGTACTTTTGTAACTCAATTCTGCATATCATAACGATATTTACCGGAATTCTAACCTATTAGATGCAGACATAGGAGATAAAGCTTTTGCATTAACGGCAAAATTCTTGTTTGTAATATGATTATTATACAAGCACACCGATTCCGCTTCTCCCGCAAAAAACGCTCTCGGGTGATTGAAACCAGATGTTGGAATAATACCCAGTGCGTTTCTTTGAAAATTGGTCATGTGACTATCAATGATATCGATGAATTCAAAATGACTATAAAAGAGTTATGTGTTATAGTCACTTTGGATGAATTGTGACCAAACTGCACGATTTTCAAATCAGACGAAACTTTTAGCAGCATGTCACAGATTTGCAAAATCACCAAATTCACAAAATACCATTAAGTGCCATTTTAATGTAATCACAATGTTGAAAGGAGTGGCATTTCCGTAATTTGCGATATTTACACAACTATTTCTCATTGATATGCGAGGACGGGTGGGCAAATTCAATATTTTTTTGAATCGAATATTTTTAAAGAGTACCGAATAAACGTGGTGGAAACATTAAAAAATCGGGCAACAAAGCCTTTTTACTGGTTAATACCGTTGTAATCGCTAATTGTTCTTGTCACCGATCGTTTTGGCGGCGATATCCAGGTTTTGGTAATCTATATTTCCGCCTTCTCTCTTTTACAAATATGAATTCTTGTGGTCGGCGGACATCGAAGTTTTATATTTCGGGTTTACCCCGTTCGTTCACATCGGCAACAGCTGTTGAAGACATTGAGGACTCAAATTAACATTTGCGTTGGCTTTATTTATCCTATCAAGATTTGTAATTTACCGTCCCAATTTTATGCGAATGGTAATATTATTGTCCATACCGTGATGCAGTATTATTAAAGACGATATTAACTTTCTCATGTATTTCTATGGTGATAAAACTTCGCAAATCTGAAATTGTGCCAATCCTGAATGTTGATTTAAATAGAGATTGAATAATTCGGCAATAAAGGCATTTCTGCGTGGTCATAAGACGAGATGACGTTAATGAACAGCACTTCTTTACAGGAATATTTTACGTATGCGACTTCAATGCTAAAAGATTGGGCTGGAGTGCTTTTTTTTTTCGAAGTGCTCGAGTGCCTAATAGAGGTCAGGCGCTAATTGTAACTAATTCCCTCAAGTTTCAACGTGTTTTCAACAAAACAATACCCCGGCGATAATTATAGCTAAAATGTTACCGAGCAATTCACAATTTTATTTATGGAATTTGCAAATTCACCAGTTTTCTTGACGATTTTGATATTGTCACGCCCTAATTATTAGCGCAAAAAATACTCCCCTTCTTCCGCGCGGTTTGAACGGGTTCTTTGTTCCATTCTTCAGAAAGTTCTGACACGGGGGATATAGAATACTGAATCCGGAGGTTGAATCCCTGTCCACTTACTGGTGATTTCCGTTGAATGCGTGAAACATTCTCTATTTTAAATTAAATGACATTTCGCGGCTAGAGTTCTCCCGAAATGAATGTGTTCCAGACGTTAGTTAGACGATAGGATAAAACATTAGATTAATAATTTCGTGACGCCCCGATTTGAAAATACAATTATTATCGCGAAAATGTGTTTTGTTACATTTAAAATAAAACATTTTTGCGATTAATTTAGATCAAATTTTACCTTTCACAGGCAACCCGTTTCCGAAAATACAAAGTTATATCACAAAAAATGCGTTTTGTTACATTTATTTGCATTCCCAATAAAATACATATTTTCCCTAATTAAGGTCGTCGATGAATCTGTTCCTGTCGTTCACGCTCGACACACGTTTGGACGAGTGTGGGCGGTTTTTTGGTCGACGATAAATTAAAAAGTTGCCACACGTTATTTGTATAACGATAATAACTGAAAATTAAGATTTAATAATAGAAGTGAATTTGTCTCAAGATGGTATTTTTACGATTCCTGCCAACAGAAAATAACACGCTGACAGGCTTGGTTATAACTGATATTCGTTTAATTTATTTTACACTATTAATAAACGCGCCAGACCAATTGCGACCATATAAATTGCAGTCGCATCGGTATGGACTGTATGTTTTTGGCGCTCTCACATTAATAATATTTTCAACAAAACAATACCTCCGACGGTCATTAAAGCTGAATTCGTTACCAATAATTCACAATTTTATTTACGGAATTTGCCAAATTTTCAAAGATCTCACTTGACGATTTTGATGATGTCATGCCCTAATTATACTGCTTAAATGCCTCAAAATACAACAAATGTAATCATTTTGGACGACAACAGGCGCAACAATTCGTAAACGAGCCGTTATAACGAAATTCGCGATTGATTTTACCTCTCTCTTGTTTACAATTTAACATCCGCCGGCCACGTATGGTCGAATAAAATGTTCACATATTCGAAACATGACTTGGCCAAGGAATTGAAGGGATCACTAAAGAGCTAATAGAAAGTACATACGCGAGGGTATGATATTAATATCGAGAAATATTTGTGAAGGCATATCACAGGACGGAAATATTTTGCACCCGGCTGTTTGTTGGGCAGAAACAACGATACGCTAAAGTTAATTGATCGAATACAGGGAAGTATTTATTTATTATTTCACTTGCGAACATCGAGGTTTTTGGCGGAATTGTACGATCATGTTGTCTTTCTTAAATAATAACTTTTTTCAATAAATGTTCATTTTAACTTTGCGTCTTTATTATATGTCGGGTTTTCATTTTATTTTAAATTCGAAATTGTCCGAAATACTCCAACAGGTGTATAAGTACAATAATAATAGTACTTACCAAAGTACTTACCAGGGAAGTTTAATACACACGATGCGTCGTAACTCCCGTTTAATAATTATAATTTTTTTACATTCTGCTTAAAAAACAACGGCAGTCATCATACGCAACTCTCGCGACCAAATCTTTTTTGTTTTGTATGGCATCGTCTTGGCGACAAATTTATTGCCGACTAAATTTTAATTGTGTTTTAGGATAAGTTATTTTCTGTTTGTTGGTTTCTAAACTTTACAAACTTGGGTAGCAATTACTATTAATGTGAGATTTGTGCATATGAACGATTGAATATCGCGACTGGATGTCCGATACCTGAGAGTGCGTAATTCTCTTTCAACATTAATTTTCAGGATATCAGCGTTCATGTGGTCGAATGAAAATTATTTATCAAATGGATTGGTATTTCGAGACACTCTCAAAATTATTTGGGATCCACTATCATATCATTCGTTTTTTTTTTATATTCATGTTTTTCTCAAGAATCACCCTCGTTATATTTAGTGTACCTTCGCAAAAGAAAACTCTTTGGTGTCATCGTTCCTATTAGTGAAATTGAAATATATGGAAACCTCGCAAGTGGCGTTGTGATGCGAATATTTGATACTAGGTCAGCAGCATTACAAAGTGCTATTTATGAATGCTGAAAGTACATGACATTACTAAACATTTTGCCAATATATGAAGTTTTCTGCCCGATTTAAACTAACTCGCACACAAACCAAGGCATGTCCACATTTCAAAATTACTTGTCTTTGGGTAAGCTCTGAAATAGTATAATGTAAATGAGAAATTAGGTCACGCTAGCTCACGAAATGGGAGGATTTTCAAAGTGATCTTGTGTAATATTTCGGAGAAAAAGGTTTGAAAGGAAGTAGGTCAACCTATCTCATAAAACAGGGGAGTATCTGCGTAATATTTCGGAGGGAACGTAGGTTAAATTATCTTTTAAACAGCGGGTGCGGGTGGCAGTGGTTCAAAATCACAAATTATAATTATCAGATTAGGTTTAGGGATAAATCGAAAAGTTTGAATTCCAGCGCACTAACCCTAATTAGTATATGGTTTCCAGCCTGCCTCGTGTCTGTTAGATGGAGGAGTAACAATGTGAAAGTTTTGCTGTTTACGCGACTAAGCAACTGACACTTGATACATTGCATGAAAGTTTTGTCCGGCAGTGTTAGCAGATGTCATTTCGTTGCCGATGAATTCGCTTGTTTTAATTAACATGAATTCGCTTAAGGGAACTCGGTTAACGAAAAGGCTTCTCTTTAATTCATAATATTAACCGGAGGAGCGCTTTTTTGAGTATCTATGCCGTTTTAAATGGGTTATATGAAAGGCTAGGGCACCTAACTTGTTAAAATCGGCAAAAGCACTTTCGCACTTTTTTTTTCGACTGCGAAGCACTTTCGCACTCATAATTTGCTTAGAGTTAACACTGCAGGAGATTATTAGCAGGCTGGAGACTTGTGAAAAGCAACAGGACGATTTAGAACAATACAGCCGAAGAAACTGTGTGATTCTCCATGGCTGTAGTTCTGTGCCAGAAACTGAATACCATAAGTTCGAAGACTTCGTAGTGAAAACTCTCAACGACAGCCTTAAACCCAACCATCCTATTGTGAACACTGACATTGATATTACTCACAAATTAAAATCAAGATCTCCGAAGAACCCCATCATCATCAAATTCGTCAGAAGATCAACGAAGAATATGGTGTATGGTAGAAAAAAAGAACTCAAAGGCAGCGGATTGTCCATCACTGAGTCCTTGACCCGTAGCAGGCTCAAGCTACTCAGCGCTGCCAAGGAAGCCTTCGGAAAACAAAAAGTGAGCACAATGAATGGGATTATCTACGCTTACCTAGATAAAAGGCGAGTAATATCTTCCTTAAATGATATCACTACTCTCTCTCGTCCCCTCTACTCCAAGGCTGCTGCCCGTTCAGTGGGACCAACCTCAAGACGTAGCGGTAGCCTATGAGCGAGGGAACGATTAACTCATTCCTAATCTCCATTTTTCTTATTTGAATAGGCTAGTGCTGTCTAATCAATGGTTCTCCATCTTTAAACATCTGGAAACCTATATAGCCAGACTAGATATTTGACTTATTTTTTCATTTTTATTTTTACTTTTATTTTGTTGTGCCACTGCCATGAAAACTAATTTAAAATACCCATGTAGAAATTGCCACAAATCAGTTCGAATCAATCAAAAAGCTCTTTATTGTGACATTTGTTCTTCTTGGATACATTTAAAATGTACCAATATTTCTGGACAAATATGAAAATCTTGAATCTGAAGCTGATGAAATACCTTGGTGCTGTTTCCTTTGTGAAATAGACTGTATGCCATTCTCTTGTCTCTCTGATTCTGAAATATCTGAGTTATTTGTTCCCCTTCATACAGAAAAAGCTGAAGCCCAGGCACTTGCCAAAATTCTTGATCCTGAATACCTAACAAAATGTTTCTTGAATCAGCAATACTGATACTGATGAATTCAACAACATTGATAGTGTTTTCTTGTACAATTGCTCAAATCAATATATCTGCTCCAGTGATGTCAATGCCCTTAAATTCAACGACAGCCTTAAACTAAGTGGTTTCATGACTCTCTCCATCAATATCAGATCTTTAGCCTCTTTCAAAAACTTCACAAAATTTGAAGCACTAGTTAATTCACTGAATTGTAAGCCTCATGTAATTGCTGTAAATGAAACATGGATTGTATCTGGTACAAATGGCCATTTCAATGCACTGGATGGCTATGTTTTTATCTCTAATAGTAGATCTCATCACCGAGGTGGTGGTGTTGGTCTCTACATTCGAAATGATTTGAAATACATTGTCCGCAAAGATATTACTATAATGTGCGAAAAGGTTTTTGAATCTATATTCATTGACATATCATTGGAAAATAAAACAATAACCTGCGGTACTATTTATAGATCACCACTAACTGATGAATTGAACAATGCTAACTTTCGGAATCTCTTGTCCCAAGTTCTCTCAAAGATGAACAGGTTGAATTATAATTATATAATGGGTGACTTCAACTATAATCTTATTGATGAGTCCAATATGAATACCAGCCTATTTGTTGATATTATGCACAACCTGGCCTATTATTCTCTGATAAACTGCCCCACCAGGATAACTTCAAGTTCTGCTACCTGTATAGACCACATCTGGACAAACGTATATGATAAAAAAATTAACAGTGCTGTTTTAGCAGAATGTGTTTCTGATCATCTGCCGATTGTACAATGCTCTCTTCTAGAAAAGCAAATTCAGACCAGAATTGAAACGCTTTATCGCCAGTTTACTTCGTCCAACTTGAATACTTTTATGAATGAACTGAATTCTATTGATATTGATGACTTCAGCAGCATCCAGGATCCCAACACTTGCTTTGAAAATTTTTTTGAAAAATTCTCCACTGCTTACTCTCAATCTTTTCCTTACAAAAAACAGACAAACAGATCAAACAAACCTTGGTATGATACTGAGTTACGCAAACTCAACAAAGTCAAACAAAAACTTTATAAGAAATTAATAAACAATAAAAACATAAATGACAAGCACAAATTACAGTTCAATGAATGCAGGAACCTTTATACTCGATTGCTCCACAAAAAGAAATCAAATTATTACAAATCTAAATTTGCTTCTCACAAAGGCAACATCAAGGCAGTGTGGAAAACAATTAATGACTTATTGGTAAAAATAAAACAAATTCTTGTCCTTTGATTGGACTTGATTGCAGTAATACACAAACTGCAAATAAATTTAATGAACACTTTTCCCAAGTGGCACAAAGCCTGCTTGACTGTATGCCACAACCAGCTGGCTGTGACAAAAATTACATTTCATATCTTGGGAAGCAAGAATCCTCATCCATGTTCTTAAGGCCAGCTACATCATTAGAAATAAAAAATATTATACGCGATATGAAGCCCAAGTCAAGTTTTGGAATCGATGGTATTCCATTTAAAATATTGAAATATGTTCCAGAACATATTATTGATATCCTGACATATATATTTAATCTTTCACTATCTAGTGGATTATTCATTGAAAGCTTCAAGACATCCAAAGTTCTTCCTCTCTTTAAAAAGGTAGTGTTTCAGATCTTGGAAACTATAGACCTATTAGTCTTTTACCATCATTTTCTAAGATTCTTGAAAAAATAATGTATAGTAGAATGTCAAACTACTTTGAAACTAACAATGTTTTCCACTCGCATCAATTTGGTTTCCGCAAGCATCACTCCACTGCTATGGCTGCTAATGTTTTGGTACACAAACTGACCAATGCGTTTGAATGCAAACAACATGCAATTGGAATATTTCTTGATATCTCAAAAGCTTTTGACACCATTGACCATTCCATCCTCTTAAGTAAGCTCTATCACTATGGAATTAGAGGCGTTCCATTCAATTGGATCAAGAGCTACCTTCAAGACAGGAAGCAAATTGTGCAATATGACAACTCATTCTCTACAAATATTTGTGTCATGAAGCACGGAGTTCCACAAGGATCTTTACTTGGCCCATTATTTTTTCTAGCTTACATTAATGACATGTCCAGGTGTCTGAAATCCTCTGAGTCGATCATGTTTGCTGATGACACTAACTTGATTCTTCATGGGGAAAACCTTGAAGATCTATTCACAGTTGCAAACCAAGAACTAACCAACATTCATAGCTGGATGTTAGTTAATAAATTATCTCTGAATGCTAACAAAACTAAATTTGTATTATTCCATCCAAGCAAGCATAAAAGTGTGAGTTGTTCAAAAAAACTACTGCTCAATGGCAATGAAATTGAAAGAGTGAAAGAAATAAAATTTCTAGGAGTTATCTTTGATGAAAATCTGTCATGGAAATCACAAATAATGCATGTTATTGGTAAAACAAAAAGAAACCTAGCAGTTTCTGCCAAAGTATCCCAGTGTGTTGATCAATCAGCTCTACTAGCAATGTTTCAATCATTACTACTTAGCCATATTCGATATTGTTGTTCAGTCTGGCTTCATGGTAATAAAACACTTGTCTCAAAACTGCAGAGTATTTGTAATAATTTTTTAAGAATAGTTTTTGGTAAAAGAAAACGTGAAAGTGTAGATCTTACTTCAAATCACTAAATATACTTAAGGTTGAAGATATGATGAAATTTGAAATATTATCTCTAGCTCACGACTTCCATAATAATGCGCTGCCCAATTGCTTTAATGACATACTTGTCAAAAATACCTCCAACCGAAGAAGTAGTTCTGATTTATTCGTACCTTTCATGAGTAAATCCGTGAGTCAGCATTCCTTGTCTTTTACTGGACCCAAACTTTGGAATTCTCTTCCCTTAAATTTGAAGACTTAAAGTCCAAAAAATCTTTTCAAAAACAAGTCAAGTCTCATTTAGTTTCCAAATATTACTACTGGTGGTATTCGATGACAAAAACTTGGGACACTCCACACTTGCACATTATTGTTTTAATGAAAATGTTGAACAGCTATAATAATATCGTTATATCTTGCCACGACTTGGCCAGAACTAGTCCAGCACCAAAGAAATGGTATTGTGACATGCATGAGTATATATATATTTTTTTAAATATATAGGTAGCTAACGTACCGGATGATATTTTCTTTAAATAACTGCACACATTCTATCACTTCACGCTCGTGTTTTTATCTTTTTCTAGCTGTGATGTCCTATCATACACGCTTGGTCTTATGTTTGAGTGGTGGTATAAGGGTTGTAGATAGTACAATATTGTTCCTGCAAGGTTACTAATTATTGCAACTAGGCGAGCAGTAGAGCTATGTTGGATTCTCCCCTTCAGATTTTAATTTGCTGTGGGTCATTGTAATTGGATGTGGTTTTTATATCATTTATGTATGCATGCGTTTTATGTTAAGGCATGGTGTTTGAGTTGACTTGTTGGCCAAGGTATAGATAGTAAAATTTTGTGTGTTTTTTGCATGGTGTGATAAATTTTTCTCTGTCCCAAGCAGAATGTCATCATAGATCATCTATCCATCGCTATAATGACAATACATCCCATTTAATTAAACAATTATTTTTTGCCTGTTATAAATAGTTCAGAGCGTTCCCCTTCACCCAATCATTGAAACATCTACTCGCAGTTTTATTTTTTGTTTTTAAGGTTACTTCAAAGTGATTAAATGAAGTAAAACACATAAGAAAAAAACAAAAAAAGACTCCGATATCCTGTGAAATAACAACCTTATTCCTATATCCTTGTCTGAAATCAATACCCAAGAATGAAAAACCTCACTTACACCCTTTGTAACCAATTTATTTCCATATCCTACTTTACTTAATTATAGTAATTTTACTGTTACCGGTAACTTAATTACTTATTACAATCTGGACTTTAATTTGGCAATAATAGGCTCTAATTTGGGGAATGAAATGGTCTCGCCCACCTCTTCATGCACCCAATTCTGGCAACTTTGGTTGGGCAACTTGGCATTTGACTCCAACTATAATCAGCTTGGCAATATGTTTTCAATAGAATCTTCCTTTTATATCTAATTAACGATTAGAAGATCGATCAATTTGGCAATGGCAACCATTACAAAAATATCAATATGGTGTGGCAGAAATTTTCTTTTCTTATATTTATTTATTTATTTTTTTGTTTACTGTATAGTATACCCTAAATTTATCGCGTTTATTCTTACTTAAATAATTCTCAGTGTTGTGTGTGTGTGTGTGTGGCTGGTGGGTGCATGTGAGCGTGTGTGAAATAACCTAATAATTTTAGGTGAGTTAACACGTACCACTTCCTCTTGGCAAAACCTTCCATCTTATATTTTGTACGTTATAAACCTTATCTAAGGTTTTGTTTGCTCCCCTGATTTCATAATCAGTTTTTATTTATTTGTTTTTATCTGTCAAATGTATTGTTATGCTGATTATGGAGTCGAAATAAACTTATACTTATACTTATATACTAATTTCTAATACTGTCTCTCCACTCCACAGTCCCAATTTGCAACTATTCATACATGTAATGATGGGGGAAAAGTTGAAAATTAAATAAAGTACATTTATAATTCATGAAGAATAATACTAAGTAATTGCATGAATATAAAAAATTAAAACTAGTCATCAACATGGCATATAAATTGGATTGTTAATTAGGATTGCACAGTCATCTTCTAAGTAACTTTATATGCTTGTACTATTCATACACAGATAAACGTATGAAATTAAAATAAATAAAATATAGTTTATAAAATAAAATATAATTTCTGAAGAATTATACCAAGTAATTGTGAGAATATAAAAAATTAACACTGCTCATCAGCATATATATTGAAGAATTTTCGAGAAACCTAATAATCTTGTACAGTTCACGTATCGATAAAAGGCGCTCCCAAATTATGTGAACCAAGAATGTAGAACGTAGTATGTGTACCATTTTAGGGTTATGCCATAATTTTAGATACGAATACTACGGGAGTCACCTGGCTAGTCCCCGAACTCGCAATAGAATTAAAATAGTGAAAATTGGAATGAAATTATGGCCTAACCCCTAACCTGGTACACATACTATGTTCCGGTGTCCACCATCTTGGTTCACATACTTCCAGAGTACCGAATAAAAATTTGAAACTCAAATAAAATTTATTCTTTATTCTTATACATGAAAGTACGGTAATTACCAGAATATAAAAATTTAATTATTGATCATCAACATGACATATAAATTGAATAGTTAATTAAGATTGTACAGTCAATTTTCATGTCAGTTATTATTCATTATTGTGACCTTTAAACTTTACAATCTTGTGTCCTCATACTTCTCAAGCATGCTGTAAGAGCTCAAAAGGTCACTAATTGCGTCACCCTGGAAATTAACAAAATTTGATTAATTTTTAACATCAATATATATACGACATATGATATATCAATTTTGTTGAATCAACAATTTTCTGTTGATATATTGACATAGATCAGGGTGGTCCAAACTGCGGCCCGCTATGACGATCTATGATTGGTACCAGGAAAAAGAATTGTCTTGTGCAGACAGGACCATGTCGATGAGAAAAGTCACGCTTTTCATCGAAACTTCGAACCTTAAGCTCGCGTCAAGTAACTCCTCATTTGGAGAGACGTTTTGTGCCTTTATTTTAGTAAAAACACTCCTCTGTTTTCAATCGTGGACTATGTTGACAGCAGTGACGAACCGCGGAGCTGACTTAGCGCCGCGCGATCCAGTTTTTTAGCTGGTTCCGGAATCCCAACTTAGAAGGACTTGGTTGTTTCTCGACAATAGCACCTGGCCTGCTCACGCTACAAGTAATAAAATTAGCCAAATATAACAATTCATCATACAATCAGTGTGACAAAAGATAATTGAAGTAAACTGGGAGGAAACGTAGGTGTTTTCAAGTAATATCTGTCACGAAAGAATATAATTTTAGGACATTACAAAACCAAACACGAGAAAAGATACCGAACATACCACGATATTTCTCGGCAAGCGATTTTAAAATAACTAAAGGCTTTATATATCCTGCTCAAAAAACTGATTAGAACGGTAAAATCTCGTTCCTAAATATATTTAAAGTGAGTAAATTCGCGATGTTTTGATCACTTTTGGGTTTTCTTCGATTGCGGCCCGCGAGACATTTTGAAAAGTTTTTGCGGCCAGCCAACCTCGCCACCTTGGACCACCCTGACATAGATGATATAACAATTTTGTTAAAAAAATCGTAAAAGTATTATTTGACTAACTTTCCCATAAGTCATCTACAATGTGAACCTCAATCACATGAAAAAATATAGTGGGACCTTGATGACTGTATGGTCGCATCATTCCTTCCTGTCCATACAAAAACAATTTTATTTGTGTTACATTTTTTATTGTGCTGATGACTGTATGTATTGTGTATGTATAAATCTTTCTCTCTCTGCTACATGGATAGATAAATTGATTTGTCAACCGAAAATAACCAAGAACAAATTTATAAACTACAAAAGACTTAGCTATAAGTTTTGAAGTCAGAATCGTCTAGTAAAATTTTTGAACGACGAAGTCCAAACTTTTTAGGGTAATATTTGAAGTCAGAATTTTTTTACAGAAACTCAAAGAATTAGATTGACACGAAAGAGCTTCTGGCAGTTTGTTGCCACCTCAATTCTAGTGGAAACATGTCAAACTCGGACTCCTGTTTGTCAGAGTAGCTTACCATATTTGTTTCGAAAAGAAAATTTTCCTCTCCCACTTCATGTTCAACCGTTATGCTGAAACACCCATTTTCATTTCCCCTGTTTTTGATGTCAGAGAAAGGAAACGTTCTTAGTATCTGGAATAAAATTGTAAGTTGCGATCATTATGAAACAATAGAAAAATAAGATAATTTATTTTAAACTACGCCATGTTTTGAAAAATGATAATACACAAGACAAATTCAGAGAAGGTGCCAAAACTTCAAATGGGGTTTAAACAGTGTTTTTAAACTATTATGAGTCTTGGCCCAATTCCAAAGATTCACTTGTGGGTTGTGGCAAATTGTTCAGACATAAAAACATCTGATTTTGATCTTTACACATTTACATCAGTTATTTTATGCACTATGTTGAGTAATAGAAAAACCACCTGTCCCCCATAGACAAATAACTTCTCATGTCCCCTCAATCAGTAAAACTACTCATGTAACCAACCCATTATCAAAAAACTCTTCATGTCTCCCACCCCTGAAAATCTCGTGTCCTCCCACCTCAACCTCTCCCCATCAAAGTTCACATGCCCACCACAGCGAAAATTTCTCATTATCCACCATCAAAATCCCCTCATGTCTCCCCTGACTCGTAAATTCCACATGCCCCGCAATTGCAAAATAACTCGACATGTCTCACCACCTTGTAAAGCTACTCATGTCCCACACATTAAAAAACTAATGTCATATAACGTCAAAAAATTCCACATGCCCCACACCTAACCCATCAAACTTTACATTTCCTACACCTCAAAAATTTCTTCATGTCTCGAATGCTACTGTTATATTAGACTTTTGGATGCTTGCAAAAAGGACAAAATCGCAGCACCAAAATGTTCTAAATACCGGATAGAGCACTAGATGTTCAGAACTTACATTTTTAGATATTTTGTCGATTAAGCTGACTCCTTTATTATTGATCGCAATCAGTAAATTTTCTGGATAAGCCCGACCAGTGGTTTGCTGAATTTAAAAGAGAATAAGTGTTAGTCTAACTTGTACGGTAATGTGAGCAAATTGTTTTCCAGCAATTCTTGTTTGGGATGCCAAGAATGGGTTCCTAATTTCAAAAAGGTGCAAAAAGAAAAAAAATGGTCGAGGACTGCTGATCTAAATCAGTGGTGCCCAATCCTTTTTTGTTCTTCCCTTCCTTTATTTTGGAACTTTTCATTTCTCCCTCAATATGCATAAAAATTACATATTTGTTCAATTTTTAATAGAGATATGGCTAGAATTATTCCGTACTTGCACTCACACTTTTGTGCAGTTTAGATAGTTTAAGTGTGCAAAACAAGCAATATAGTAAAATAATAAAGAAATAAAGTATATTTGTAGTGGTAATACAGCAAATATAAAACAAATTCCTAACCAGTTGAGAAATATGGATCTATATAGTGACAAGGGAATATTGGTAACTGCATACCAGGTATTCAATTTTTGGTAACAAAACTTTGTTTATGCGAGCCTCCTTTACCAGACAGTTAGGAATGGCTTGATTTTGAACTTGATTTTCTAAGGTCAGTCTAGACCAGGGGTGAAACTAGGAAAACGGGGAGTTTTCTTGTAAAGTGAAAAGTAAAATCAGTTTTGCGCCAAGCGTCATGGCCCCCCTCCAACTGCTGTGGTTGGGAACCACTGCTCTAGACTTTGATTATCGCTATTTAAACTCTGATTCCCAACACCAGGAAGAAGTACTACTCAGAGATGGAACATGCAAAACATCAAATTTACAGCCTTGGTGTATACAAAGATTTTTCCCACCTTTACTTCAAAGAACGAAGATCCAAAAGTTGGCCAACGAGAAACAATCTTCAAAAATGATATCCTGGCATCGTTTTTGCTCATTCCGCTGTGCTTTTTAAACTGGTTCATGATTCCCTTAATAAAGAAGATTTTTATGCAAAATATCACAAATCATGGTCATAATACCTCCACTAGAATCAGAAAAATCTCACTAAAAATTTACAATTGACCTGATGTGTCAAAATCAATATTTATATTTATTTTTTCATTTAAAAAAGACAGATTGTTGGCCATTAACCTTGAAATACGAGTCAATTCGAGTCATGGGTTATCATGTTAAGTCTCACTAGTGTTCATTTGGTGAAGAATCTATCTTCAGAGATGACTCATGTCACTTCGAGTCTTTGATAAATGGTGAACTAAAACAATTAGAATCAAAGGAAATCATGGCACCCAAATATAAGTTTTGAGAGTAGTGAAAGAAGTTGCTATTGCAAAAATGCCAGTATGTTGTTATTCTGTGTCTTTGGTTGATGGATACATACTGACTGCATATGCTATAGTAAAAAAGGATGTCAGCGTATAAACATAGTGGCTCAAGAGTGTGACAAATAAAAGCCACACTTCATGACCCAACCTATTTACAATAATAAAATTTATAAAACTTAAAATTTCCCTACGAGCTTTAAGTCAGAACAAAGTAATCCAATAATTAAAACTGGTAATATCGATGTGTTTAGTGTTTAGGTCTATGTATTTCTGACCTGGCATGTTTTCAGTGGAGTCGCAATTGTATCCTCGACTTTCAATAGTGATAAAAAGTCATACATTGTATTGGAACTTAAATAGCACTTATTAAATGTCAAGTTTCTTATAAAGTGACTTGCATACGTCAATAGATTTGTTACCAAAATTTGATTTTTAGAAATATTGAAGCTTAAGTCGAAATTCTTTGTAGTCTGGATAAAATTTTTTTTTAACTTGGAGTTGATTGCTTTTCAACCTGCAGACGAAGACGATAGTAAATTTTATTAGACTCCATAGCACCTGCGTAGATCTGGCCACAGAAATGTTCTAGGCGAAAAGTTATTTTGTTTACCGATAACCAACCACCAGACGAGATGAACAAATCTTTAGGAAGAAGTTGAGCTGTTTGCAGTAATTGAGGGATTTTTGCAAACTTGCGTTGGTCTTCTCCATATTTGTTTCTGGATAAGATAAATTAAAATTAAACATACTTGTTTGGTGAATTGTGTAATGCATAGGTTCCCAAAATGATTAGTAAGGAGCCTCAGCGCTTTGGAGAAAATACCTATTAAAATGCTAACTTGGCTAATTTTGTAAGTGTCCAAAGAAGCAATAACAGCATTAATAAAGTTTGACAAGAAGCAAATATATCTGAGTCATTAATAAAGTAATGTTAATTTACTTATCAATATTAATCGTTAAGTAACAATGTGTTTTTTGTTTTTATTTTTATAAATTTATTGTAGGGCTCTGTACATAATAGTCAATATCTTCACGGGCTCCATATGTTTGAGAACCCCTTGTGTAATGCATTGGTATCCAAGTTTATGGTACATTCCTCATTTGCCTTTTTTAACTTATATTCATCCCTCACTACAGTCAGAAACTCATGTTGAAAAATTGGAGGTGACTCGAGAATCAGATGGCTTAACTTGAGGACCCTGTTATGCCAATGAACTTGTATTGCCTAGTTGTTGGAACTCAGGACTCCGGTGAGTCATAACTATACTTGACCGGGGCATGGGGTTTAGAGCGGGGGTTCTCAAACTGGGTGGCGCTACCCGGAACTAGTTGCAGAGGGCGTGGGATTTTTCAAAGTAACATGCTTATCATTGCCACAGATCACAGCGGCCACAGATCTATTTAAAATTGCTAGTTGTATTTGTGTCACTGTGGTTAATTTTGATTGTAGTAGCAATGAATGATGTTGCTGTTTTCCGTTACTAAGTGGTAATTCTCATTCTAATTAAAAAAAAGTGGAAACGTCCATTTTTGCAGAAAGATTATGTTCACCTGTATATCAAAGCTGCAAGTTGTGTTCCTTCTTCTTTGGTGCATTTATGGTAGGATCGTAGAAAGTTCAAAACTTCTTGAGGGTAATGGAATTTTTCATCAGCGATTGGATCTTCTCCAGGTACTACATCATTCCATAGCTTTCGCATGAAGATTACTTGGTAACGTGATGAATCTAAAATAAATGTAAAGGTTTTAAAATAAGAAAGAGAAACGTGTTTATGATGCTTAGTTTCTGAACCAAGTGTAGGTTTGGCGTATTAAATGATACATCAGATGATGACGTATCACATGTATCAAATACGCGAAGTGACTTGAGTCGTCTAAATAAATTTAAAACGCAATTTTCTTATAGAATTCTTTATCCGAAAAGTGGATTCAGATATAGTGGGGAAAAAAGCTATTGATTAATAATTTGTACTCAGCTTGTAAGCAAGACCAAGTGATTGATGCAACGCGAGACTCTAATAACTTGTCACTGGACTACACTGCAACTCAGATTTATTGCTTTTTATTTGTTTGTACGTCTTGTCTATGGCTGGATTTGGGAAAAAATAATAAAAGAATCACAAATTATCATTATAGGAATATTATCATCGAAGTGTTTAAAATGACAGAATTTAAAATATCAAAAAATAAATTCAGTTGGGAAAGGAAATTGGATTTAATGTAAACCAATGACTCTTTTAAATATTCAAGTATATATAAATAATGTAAAATAAATATAAAAATCATATATACAGTATTCTTTTTATCATGTTTCAGTTGGTTCATTTCTATCATTAAATCCAATGTGGTTAAAGATATTGAATTTAAATTTCACTAACACACCTAGGTTAAAATAACACTGTACAGATATATTGAATTGAATTGTAGGAAAACGGCCAAACCAAAAAGATTACTGTATGTTCCAAATGATGGCTCTCCATATAGCAGTGTTTTCTTGTTCATAGCTTTATTCAAGATAATGTGTTCAGATTTTCAAAAGAAGGGAAAAGCTAATGATATGGCCTTTTTGCAAACCATAACCAATTTCTTGTGTTAACATCCCATGCCAGGTAAGGGAAATAGTTCACCGGTTTCAGAAGCATGGATGAACAACCTACAACGGTAAGGAGTTGTCATGATCTCACACATAAGTATCTCCAACAAGATTCAAGTGGGAGCAAATGTGGCTACTTATCTCACCATTATCAGTTTTGTCTCTCACAAATTCCACAAAACAGTCATCGTCCGGAACGCTAACATCATTGCCAGCAATTCGGACAAACAAACTGAAGCCTTCTGCTGATTTAAGTGCGTGACGATTTGCAATAGTGCTGCAAAAATCTTTAGCTCGAATGCCTGATCCGACTTCAAAAGTCTGTCAGAGAAAATAAAAGTCAAAACAAAATCCGAAATTCAAGACAATATTTAAAAATATATGAGAACATGCCATCAAGTATCTGATTACCGGTAACCTACGCGGGTTTGAAGACTCTAATTTCCAGGGGGATAATAATGTGTGATAGGATTGCTGGTAATCATATTTTAATTCAGAAGAACACATTTGTATTACTTCACGCTTGACCACCTTCTTCATGATTGTCTGTCAACATTTTTTTTTTGCAATTAATTTAACTTTCTTCTTCAATGAACCAAAAATATAAGATCTGATACTACCTCGCATGTACTGTTAGAAATCCAAACAAGGAAAGTTTCAGTAGCCTGAGCTGTTTTTTCATTTTTTCCATCAAGAAGACCTTGTTCATGCAATGTATTTCGAAAGCTGAAAAATAGTATTAGGCTCAAATTAAATTATAAAGGTACTGAGTTATGTTTGAATAAATGGGAAAGATGCATAATGAGTCCTGTGTCCACTAACTATTACTAAAATGTTCAAAGTATGTAGATTAAACTATTGGAATTTCAGCTATTATTTGAGTAGATCTTGCCTAGTTCTTATTGTTGCTGAAGGGATTGTGGACATTAGGAAAAAACATTTCGTTTTACCAAACTCACCAATCAATTTCTAATTTTTTGGTATTTAATGATAATTGAAGCCGCAGGGAACGCTGTTGAGCATGAGGTATTAGTTTCAGATATGTGGTTGTTTGAAGATGAACGGAATTCATGGTGGAGGACCACTGGTTATATAAATACCCTGCTGTGGCAAAGAGCCAACCTCATAATTATCTCTCTTTATATAGAAATCCCAAAAAGATAAATAAATGTAAAAGAAAAAAATATAACATGGCTGTTGTTTTTGCAGTTTCAAGTAACTTGTCATGCTCATCTTTCAAAAATATTTTGTTCTCTCCAATCTGCCAGTCTTTGCCATCAAGAGCCTTGTCCATGATCTTCTGACAAATTTCTAAAATTGGGAAAATAAATTAGTCATGAATCTGGAACAGAGTTTCTTTAATTTGGCCTCCCTAGAGGGGCACAGCCGCACAACAAAGGCACCTTTTGCGTAGATTACACTAATTTAAAGTAGATTGACTGTAATGGGTTTAAATTGTTTGTCTGTAATGTATTTATACTTTTGCTCTAACTATTGATGCCAATTGAGAATTTTTCTATGAAAAAGCAAGGAGTCACAAATGTTAGGTTTTTGGGAATGGCGTAAAAATCATGGAAGTTTGAGAACTACTGTAACAGTAAATTCCACTGTGAAATTACAATCGTATCTTTAAAAAAAGCCACAATACACAGAAGTTCAATCATTCACATCATCCAAGTTGATCTGAAATGATTCATGATTTGAAGGTTTGTGGGTAAACTGACACATGCATTACTATGTGTTTTAAACCTCATTAGATGTCTTATCAGTTTTCCCGATTTTCCCAATCTTTTGTGTGTTCATCATTATGTTTTATATGCATGTTCAACATGGGGAAATCGAATTACATATGATAAACTGATAAATCAAGTATTCAGACAGTTAGGCCGCGAAGTTGCCAGGGCAATAATAGACTTTTTTTATTTACTCCCTTTCGTAATTATAACATTCCATAAAATCAATTAAATATCGAGTTATTATCAGGTAGAACTTGACTGAGGCTGGAATAAAAAAGAAAACTTTATAATCATAGCAATGACCCACATGATTCTAATCACGCACTCAATTCACTTTTTTATGAAAAAATTTCCCCAAGGTTATGCAAACTTACTCAGAAGTAAAGTAGTAATTGGTCTCTGAGCTACTGAATAAGATCTATTCATTAGTCAAAAACAAAACATTTTTTCGAACAACAATAAGATAAACCCCAACAACAACAAAATTTAGCAAAACGAAGTTAATTTGCCTCCAATGGCTATAGCAAGCAAACAAAAGCAACAACACAACTTACCAATCATTTCTTTGCAGCCCTGCACAATCTGGATAGGCAATATCTTTACATACCTTGAAGTAAAAAACGAAAAGTAAGAAATTTTTCTGCTCCAAATTAGGTGCGCTAAAAAGGAGGACAGGGCGAGTAGACAAGATTTTGGAGACGCTGATGAAAGCTCATAGAACTTCAATAACTTCTGTTTATATTTCAAAGTAGCAGTCATAAAATTGAAGTAGGGATATTTGTTTGTTAGACACAATGGCTTAGTTGTAAAACATTAGACTTAACTATATTGGCATCGCAGGTTAAAAATATACAAAATGCCATGTCCTATTCCCTCACCCAGGGTGCTGTAAATAGGATACGCAACCAAAAGATTCTTGGCTTTCCAAGCTATGGATGGCTTCTTACCTAAAAGTTTCTGTTTGTACTATGTTGTTGAAAGTGAAAGGTAAGGGAGTATGAAAAGAAAAAACTTGGAGGAAACCTCCAAAAAAGTTATATTGAGTTTTTAAGCAAGTGTTTTTTTCTCTGATCAAAAACCATTCCCTGCATAAAATAAATCAAATTACTTTTCAGCAAACTCTTCAAGGGCGTAACTGATTGGGTAGTAAGCTCTTGTTTCCTTCATGTCCTGAGAATGAAATTAATAAATTGAAGAAAACATTAAAAATTTGTTCAGATCCACATTTACAGTGAGACAAGCATTAAGAGACAGCGAATGAATGTTGATTGTTTTACCCCACAGCCTGTAATCATTGTGTCATTACATGGTACCTAATACTTGTTTACTTGTTTTCATGATGGTGCTGTTTTGTTGTTGTATCGTCTCCTAAAAGGTCAGTGTATATGAAATCTCTTAATGTATATCTGCTTAGAGAGGCACTCAAACTTTCCATGCTGGCAGAGGATGAGTGCAATATATCAACATCTAAATTATGTGTAGGGCATCAAATACCACATGAATATCTCACGTATTTCATCAACAATTCACTAGGAAGGAATTATTCATATTTCAGAATTGTATTTTATTTTTTGAGATTTGAAATTTTAGGCTAATCCGAATTGAATACTTCACTGCAATTTTTCTGCAGATAGGAGATGATTTAGAGCAGGGGTCACCAAACTAGGGCCACCTTTCATCCGGACCGCAATAACACGTAAAAATTACGAATTTTTTGCCGAGGAATTTGGTCGAGAGACAAGGCATTCTTATCTTTGATAATTTTAAAATGTTCTTCAGAAATGTAGAATTTATATTGTTGTGTGAATTGAATGAATTTCCCAAGTTTCGGGAATTTATTGTATTTCATTGATAAAAATATTTGGCCGGTTCATTACAACACAGTTTGAGTCATACCTGACCCGCGGTCAAAATGTTTGGTGAATCCTGATTTAGAGTAATGATCGTAGATAGCGATAAATCAGAACCTGAAAATTGTGATTACTCTGAGCTGGACCACGCACATCACACTTGTCAACAGCCAATTTAACATAGATAGAACTCTTATTAAGCATTCTAATGTTTTCTTTTTGTTAACTCGCAAAGCTTTCGGTAACCAAGGATATTTTAGCAAATGAACAGCAAAACGTTGTTGTTCATCGACCAAGAGCTCAATGATCATTAAAAATTCAAAAGGTGGTATGATTATTTGGAAATTAGAATATTTAAGCATACAACAATGAGTCATTAAATTGCTTCAATATAACATTTAAACTGGCGATGAATCTCATTTCCCAACATCTAATGAGATCAAATTTTTATGCGGGTGGATAAAATTTCGTATTCAATGGTAAAAGGTAAGGAAATCCAAAATGTCACTGTAGTTAATAGATGGGGTAACAGTGACATTCTTCTTACTAACCTTGGCTTGAGAAACTTTCTGTAGTTGTTTCTCTAGTTGTTCCTTCCCAGTCGGTTCTTGTATTTTTTTGTTCTTGTACTCGGATTCCTGAGTTAAAAGATATATTTTATCCGGTCAGCATTCCAGGTTGCATTTAAAAAAAGATTAACCAGAAAATGTTTCTAGTGAAGTAAAGCATGATACTAAACAAATGAGATTAATAAACATGACACTTATATAATACTGTAATACCATTCTAAGGAAAAATGCTAGTGATAGGTAGGGTACGAAGGGCATGCGATTTGAACCTGAGATGCGATGACGATGTACTTAAGTTTTTTTTTTACCTAAGATTATTTATGGTTATTCGTATTTCTGTATTTTATTTATAACCTATTGTTGTCGTTTAGTATTGTATGTGTTAAACCCAATTCTTTTTCTATATCTGTTGCTGTAATTCAGCACATAGGTGTTGCTGACACGATGACTCAATAGTCTTTCGCGACTTCCAGTCAATTGCGAAACATTGTGTGTTTTTGATTTATTTTAATTTATTATTATTTGTTGATAATGTTTCATGCATGACGAAATAAAATATCTGAAGCTGAATTCAATGGCTGTAGCCTAGACTCTGTCCCATAGCCAAAGTCGTCCTATTTAGACCTCATAGAATGTCCAATTATCAGAAAATTGTATAAATTAACTTTATCTTTAACCTATAGGGCAGTGATCCCAACCGGGGGCCCATGGCCTCCCAAGGGCGCCACAGAGCAGTTGGAGGATGGCCACAATGCTAAGCCTTAAGAAGACCAAGTTCAGATAACTGAAACCTAATTTCTTCAAATTTCGGATTCTTTGTCTCTCAAGAACACTTGATGCTTTTTAAGCATTATAGAAGTTTTTGACTCCTTTTTATCGCCATTGGATGCAATTTCATTTTTCGAATTTAGAACAAAACTCCGATTCTGACTATAAAATGCAAAGAGCTTAGCCTAAATCAGTTGCACTGTGAATGAAAACACATTTTTTTGTGAATTAACCTCCATACCCAGAAGAATAAACTTGATTTTGATTCCAATACAACAATCGCCCACCCCAAAAGCAAGAATAATACCTGTACATGTTCACAGACACACATTTCTTTCCACATTTTCTCTAGCATCGATCGATGTTTTGTTAGCACCAATGAATTTTGTACAGTAAAGAGTAAAACTGAGTAAAAACAACTTACTGTGGAAGCGGAACCCCCAACTGATGGTTCCAAAGTACCATCGTCGTCCGCTCTCTGTGATTGTTTCCGGTTCTTTTGCTGAAAGAAAGATTTAGGGGAAAGAATCTTACTAAATATTACAAATGCTGATTTTTATATAGTTGACCTAATGAACAAAAAAACCTAAATCGAACGCATTTTTAGGTTTCTTTCTCTTCCCAAATTCTACTTTCTTATTTTGTCATTTGTTTTATTTTGGCAAGTGAATTAAATAAATTTACAAACCAGCTCTGACAAATAAATCTTCCTTTGATTCTCGGCCATCGCCTTATCTGTCGCTTTTCTCTTCTCTCTTTCTTTCCTATCCGCTTCCTGATAAAATTAGAAAAATAAACAAATAATAGCTCTTTACATATTGTTAAATATCAGTGACAAATTGTACAAGATATTGTTTGGATTGGAAGGGCAAATGAGCGACGATTGTGGGAAAAAATTGATGTTTAACATCCGCCAAAATTATAGGTTTACCACTTTAAATTATCCTGCGCAGATTCGCAGGTTCTAATCTTACTGACCACTGGTCATTAACGGCCACCACCATCCAGTCCATGCGTCTGGAACAAATAACTGGTTAATTATTCGCATACTTTACACATGTATTCACTGGTAACTTGACAAAAGGACTGGTTTACCATATGGTTAGCTGTCTTTTCTCTTCCTTTGGACTGAATACTCCTAGTAAAGGTGAAAAACACCAGGTCCAAGAATAGGCCAACTTATAATGCCAGCATGTTTAACCGAACTTTAAACAGTTGCATCTGGCTATGAAGACTGGATGGTTCGGGCGTTGAACCAACCATTTTTTGAATGAAGATCTTGAATCCCTACCTTACCTAGAGTCGGGTGAATTAGGTAGAAAATGCCCAATCTTTGTCAACAGAAATGTCCAAAGTGAAATAGTGAAAATTCCAGCCTAATATAAAAGAAACTGGGTACGTCACAGCGGTGCTCTAATGTGGAGCTCAGTTTTGAAGTCTAAGTTAATCCCTAATTCTAATGTTGTGTAGTTAGTTTATGATCCAACCCACTATATCCCATTCTTTGATGGTGACTCTGATTCACTGACTCGAGCCTCCTCAAAACTGGAAAATTTTCTTCAAAAAGCAACAAATCTTTTGAATTGTTTCTCACCTGTTTCTTAGCTCTTAATAGTTCTTCCTGTTCTCTTGCACGACGAAGTTTCTCATCTTTTCTTTGTTCAATTAGCCCTGTTGGTGAGAGATAATAGAAATTATTATTGAAAGAATGTAATCACAATACTAGGATTTCATCCAACCTAGTCATAACTCTTCGAGTATCCAACATATGCCATTGGATTAAGCCAGCACCCAGTTTTCTTTTCTTTACAGATAAAATGTTTCTCCATATAACATTTATCCATGCTTTCACTTTGAACAAGGCCCTGCACAAGCACCCATCGATATATAATGATGTGAAAAGACCTACTATTTTTGAAAGGACCAGGATCTTTGAGGTTTCGCATTGCGAAACCAACGTATTACACCTTGGGTCAGATTATATGGATTTGAGCCCGAGGTATCTTACCTGCAATGCTAACATAGTGAAGTCTTAATTTTTCAACCACTAAGTTGTCAAATCCAAAATTAAAATATATTTAAGATCTGTAACAGATGTTCTACTACATTTGACCCCAGCAATGATTTTGTTGTACAATACTATTACAAAATCTTATGAATAGCAGAAAAGTTAGCAACAGGACTGTATTAGTTGTATTGTGACTGTAAATATTATTAAGCCATACAAACTGATAATAGCAGTAATAAAATACTAAAATTGATGCTCAATAACCAGCATTGGTATTGAGGCTTTTATTCCGAGAAACAGCGTGATTATTATTTTCTTGTATATATGACTGCTTTTCACTGATTGAAAACATAAACTTTAAAACAAAATTTGAAATTGATTGGTCCATTAGCTTGGATTTTCATTATAGCCCAGAGCTTACCTTTGTAGTGCCTTCTTATGACAAAACCACGACAACGTCCTTGGAAAGCAATGATTTTCCTAGTAAAATTGTAGCGAGAAGTCAATGAATGGATTGATGTGCATTGCATTGAAGGTGTGTTGAAAAAATAAAAAATGTATAAAGTTAAAGCAGTGTCTAAAAACTTTTAAAGTAGATAACGCATTTCTCATAGTTTCTTAGCTTGGAAGCTGGTGAACCATGCTCACCATTATAAAGCTATTTACATAGAGTTCCCAGGTTCGAATATCAGGAGGATCATGGTTTACGATAGGAGTATATTAGGTTTACCAACACCGTGGTGTCAAGTCTGTATAAGAAATCACTTATAGGAAGTACAAATCGAGGTTTTCGAATGGATACTTCGAATATTATCAGTTGGTACAGAAGACTCATGTCTGAGCTGTGCTATGAATGCCTGCTTTATGGAGTTACCTTACTTGGAAGGATCAACTAAATGCCAGTGAAACATAACTCAAATTCGACCGATGAATTGGATGACCAGTGACTCAAATTGACTTGCTATTCAAGGTTTAAAGATTTAGAAACAATGCTATGCTTAATTCTATGCTGTTCTTAAAGCAACTCATTAGAATTTGGAAATGATGGTTGATAGTGGTATGTGTTAGAGACAAGATGTGGTACTCCTGTAGTATGTAAACAAAGATGGTGGACACCGGACATAGTATGCGTACCAGGTTAGGCCAAAATTTCAAGTACAAATCTTACGGAGTCACTTGGCTAGTCCCCGAACTCGCGATAGAACTAAAATGAAGAAAATTGGAATAAAACTATGACCTAACCCTAACCTGGTACACATATTACGTTCTGGTGTCCGGCATCTTGGTTTACATATTTCTGGAGCGCCATAGATTTCAATCACATTACTCAAGACAATGAATGTAATGTAATTTTATGCGACTGTTTTATTGCCATGAGATTTTCAGACACCTAAATTACTTAAAACATATAATTATTACACAGACGGTAGTGTCCGAGTCGAAAGTCAATTCAGTCACTGAGTTAATTTTGAGGAGGCAGCCAGAGGGGCGATACATTGGTCATAAGCCCCATTTGAACCTTTTTTTCAAATTAAATTTTCAATTTCTAGTCGGAATAACAACAACGCCTTTTCAAGGTCAGCGCATCACAGTGTTCAATTCTAGTTATTCTGTGCATTATCACCTTGACGCAGTTAACTTCACGAAACTTTTAATACTCTTTATTGTATCTTATCTCTCTGAGTTGGTGCTAATAATGACGATAATATCTTCGAGACGGTTTCACCACCGCAGGTCCGCGACCAATGGAGGTTTGCTAAGCTTTTTGCCGGTGCTCGAGAACCTTTTTTTCTGCCAGCTTGCTTACCGAATGGTCATTCCTTCATTATGCGATTATTCTTTTCATTAAACGCATTATGAGGTCGCGCATTGTACCTTTGGCACACTTTTAATTCCAATCTTGGTTGCACCCTGTAATCTGACTGGCAATCAGTTAAGTACTTGTCTAGGTGATTTGAGTTTAACTTGAGTGACTCGAACTTTCCCAACAATGTGCTATTCTTCTTGTAACCATAAGATAAACTGGACAATCTACAATCGTTCATAACATTAAAACTCTCATTGCCTTTCCTCGTGTATGATGGGAAATTAGAAAAAATAAAATTTATATCTTAGTAAAATGAATCTACATACCTTGTGATAGCCTTTTTCCTAGCAGCTTCCAATGACAAGATGTGTTTGTCTTTCAAAAATATTTTATCAAGTCCATTCTCCCAGTCTTCGTCGTTTACAGCTACAAGCATAATCTTATTGCATATTTCTAAACATTAAGTTTTTTTTAATAACACTGTGAATCAAAAAACAATTTGACGTTTAACATTAATCATTTAAGAAGTCAATGAAGAAACTGCATGTTACGATCAGGCATGTGCATTTATATACAACTAATTGTGTTTAACACATTATTCTCGCTATCTGAAAGTGTCATCATTCATCAAAGACTCGATTCATATCAGTGACTGGTTTGAGACTAGACTCAACCAGACTTTGGGTGAAGGTATTAGGTCCAACGACCCCCAGATAAACAATGTAATGTGCAATGCAATACATCCAAGGTTGTGAATCGTTGATGCTTATGATGGAGCCAGCACAAAAAGTAGAGCATACAGAATGCAAAAAAGTGCTTTAGTTCAGATGATACAAATTACTTTCGCTTAAGACACATAAGTGCGTAACATAAACCATAAATGAGGAGCTAATGATTCGCAATCACAGTGCGTGTATCGAATAGTAACAAGATCTGTAGAGTTTGTTCATCGATATTTGAATCAAAATAACATAAATTTTGTTATGGATCAAGATTGGATTTACATACTTATCCTGGGAGAGACGGAAGCCAATACGTATGGCGAAACACGGCCGTTCGTTCAGTTACCAGTCCATGTCGGGTATGGGATTAGTTAGACAGTTTTCAGATCTTGGACTAAATGGTGGAGGAAGCCGTAGACGACCGGTGGTCCCATGAACCACCCCACAGTGGCGGGGAGTCCTGCGACCCTAATAGGGTGCGAAAAGGTGCGGTGGCAAGCGTATTCCTAATGCTTAGTATGATGCATCACACCGCTGATCCTGAGTGATTGCCTGATGATTGAAATGTTTGGGATCACAGGTTAAACATCTTTGGTCCATATACCATGCCCACAACTTCACCCAGGGTGTAGTAAACTATTAAGGCACTACTGAATAAAAAAGTAAATTCCGGTTCTGAAATACTGCTTGAACAATACTTATCAGTGAATGCTTCTACGTGGCTTGTTCAAAATGAAAATATATAGAATGTCGTACAAAAACTCAACTTCTGAATGTTGAGATATCAGAGCTTAATTAAAACCTTGTTGTAGACAACCTAACTGTACTGGCCTCCAACTCCATTTATTTTATTTGTTGTTGAGCTTATAGACAAACCGTGATCACAAATATTCGTTTTTGCCTTTTCACCTTGAAATGCGTGCAACTTTAGTGTTTTCAATTTGTGTATGTTTAGCGTGCATTTTCAGCATGGTGAATAAATAAGCAATGATTACTGGTCATTACATAATAATCAATGCTTGCTTGCATAATAGCTTAAGGGCATGGGCTTGGCAGTGTGTTTATTCGCAATAGGTAACAAGCTCACAGAAGGTGATGTGAATATAAACTTTGCATACTGCTAAATAATCTTTTTAAACTTCATCATACTACCTATCCTTTTTTTTCGATCATTTGCAGTGACAGTAGAACGTAGAATTACTTGATACCTAAATGCAATAAAAAATTCATCTATTTATTTGGTCGAATCAACTATGAGTGGAATGAGTTGGACAACAAAAACAATGTGGTTTAAAATTTTAAAAGTAGATTCTTTTTTGTACTGAGCTCCCAATTAATAGGCTCCCTTAAAAAAAACATGCTGAACTTATAGATGTATAATATCACAAGAACTTAATATAACATTACAGGAATAGAACAACTCAAACGTATAATTTACTAATGTATGTCACTAACTGCGCTACACTGAGATGACACGCTTGGCATAATTCTAGTATATAATTTTTAAAACATCAAATATACGAGAGAATACATAGGATTAGAGAAGTGGTGCACTTGCATAACAATGCTGACTTCGATCGCAAGACCAAAATGTCTAACATTTTAAACGTGAACAGGGGTTGCCGAAAATTTTAATATACTGGTGGTGGTCATGAGCCAAAAAGTTTGAAAAGCCTACACATTTCAGGCAATCTTGTGAAAAATAAAATGAGCAATTTTTACATGTTGATAAATTCCTCGAAAGTGTATCTAATTGGGTAACAATCTCTTCGTATTCGAATTGTATCCATCATGCCAGAATACCTCAGCTGACGAGCAATCAACTGACGATCAAAACTCTAGAGATAAAAAACAGTAGGTCATATTTCTACGAAAGATGAAATACACTTTGTGAATGGAGAATGTGAAGGAGAAAAAATGAGCTTTCAGGGTGAAGAGTTAGGAAAGAGTTAGGAAGAGAAGAGTTAGGAAACTAGCCAAGTGACTCTCATAGTATTTGTACCTAAAATTAGGCCTAACCCTAACCTGGTACACATACTACGTTTTAGTGTCCGCCATCTTGGTTCACATATTTCGGGGGTACCCGTAAAACAATACTGGTTATCGAGCAGTGACACCCGTGATTAAGTCAAACAGCAATTGAATAGTGAATATTATCATTAAAAACAACTCTGAGCCGAGAAATGTGAGTAACCATGGCAGCAGGTAGACAGACAGTCATTGGGGGAACCTGAAGGTATAAGGATCATATGGTGAACGCATTTGACACAAATATGTTGAAAAGATTAAAGATCTTTAGTTGAACCACCACTACACTGCGACAAGATATAATAAATTGGGTACACAATGTGGGTCACTGAAGATTCTGGTCCTTACAAAAACAATTATAGCTTCTTACCCAGCAGTGGCTATTTGAACAGCGCCATTTTCAAAGTGAAAAAAATATGGGAAACGTCGAATGAAAAAAACATTGCACAACTTACTTTTGACTCTTTGTACTCATTCGGCTTTATGCATCTGACAAAGAATGGTTGGCATTTTTCTAAATCACTGACAAGATCATTCAATGATTTTTTGAATTGTACACAAAGTGTCTGGTTTTTTTGTCGATCAGAAACATTCAGTTCTATGCAGAACAGAAAAATTCATTGGTTATGGACAGAGGCGTAGCCAGGGGGGTGGTTTTGGGGGTCGAAACCCCCCATTTTGAAACGTAAATGTTCTATATCATACATAGAAATTTTTCGTAGCCTAAAACGCTTTTTGGACCCCCAAGACTCATGAATATACGTTTTCAAGCGTTTGGCCGGACTGATATTTTTTTTTTATCTAAAATGGCGAATAGAAATTTTCGAACCCCCCCTTTGAAAATTTCTGGCTACGCCCCTGGATTTGGATATATTTATTGGACACAAATTGGATTCTTGTTGTTGTTGTTACTTTTCTTCTTGTAACTTCACCCTTTTTAATTTTCAGTGACTAAAAATTGTTGTTTTTGCTAGAAGGCTATTTATGCTATTTATTTCAAAAATTTCTGCATGCAAAATTGGAAATTTCGCGCCACATGGTAGTTTTCTGATGATCAGACTACCTACTATAAAAAAGATTGGATACTCGGTTTTGACATTTATGTCCCTATATTGGAGCATTGCTCTATTTTCCTTGAACCATGAGGGCGATAAGCAAGGAAATAGAATAATAATATAGCTAGTGGTTGGCGCAAAACTGTAGATTCAGTTACTTCTAATATTTATCATTTCTATTATTTTAGTAATAAACTGAGAAAATTTGAAGATTGGAGTGCATTATACCCAGTTAGATATGTATCACCACTTTATTCATTGCTCCGATGAAGTGTGACTGCGTTAGCATTCGTAACGCTGGTCAAACTTATATTATTTTTACCAGCAGTGCAACTACTTGCGATGAATTAGCAGAATAGTACAATGACACTATATTACAAATCGGTCAGGCCAATTCATTGGTGGCATTGCGCAAAATGTTTCATACAAATGCTACATATGATAAAATCCAGCTTATTTATAGAAAAGCAAGCGAAATAAAATGAGTTGCAAAATATTCACAATGGCTACACAACGTCCTATCATGGTTGAAATACGTATGTACAAACATTTGAGTGTTGCATTTTAATTTAAGATTACTTTGTTAGAACCCTTCCGTGACCATTTCCAAACTATTCAATAAGTTCGGTGCGATATTTGTCATGTTCATATTAAATCTGATACAGAACATTCCTTTCGGATCAACACATATATTACTTGCTAATGCACCTCTAATTACAATCAAGTGTGGGTAAGAGTTTTAGACCTGCAGACTTCACCGACCACAAGTTTGAGTTGAGATTTTATTTCGCGCACGCTCGAAAGTTAGTTAAAATTATCAATATGTGTATACATGTGAATTTATAGGAAATTTGAGACAAGTCTGCAACCATTATCTGCAATTATGGCATTATATGATTGGTTAGGCCTGTCCATGCAATCAGGTCCATGTATCTGGGACAAGTAACTATTTTCAAGCCAGACATAGACAGGTAACCCAAGTGGTGGGATTCAAATTTTTTGTCAGCCGGTTCCATCACTAAATGTCATATTTTACAAAAAGTCATGTTTTTTTCAGTAATGCCAACCGGTTCGCTGATCTCATAAAATTCCGTGAGACGGTTCTATAAAACCGGTGCGAACCGGCTGAATCCCATTCTACTGGGTATTCCGACCATGTTTTATTATATAATTACACCATCTGACCAGTTTTCTTTTTCCATGGTACAAATGTAGAAAATCTATCTTATTCTACATAAATCAAGTTACTCATTTGCCAAAAAAATTTTACCTCCTTGAAACACTGACTTCAAACACTCATTTGTTGAAGATTGGATCAAAGATAACATATCATCATTGAATGAGTCCCGGTTTCGTTCGAGAAATCCTAAAATTTAGATTAGGAGCCATAAATAAATTCAAGTCAATTATTATCCAAAAAAAACACGAGTGAATAATACTGGAAATTACGGTACTTAAAGTAAAACATTGAACAGACAAAAACTCCTAGGGAACCGAACACTATTTGAGAATTAAAAAAATTAATCAAACTTCTCGAATTTTGATAAATTTCGATTGCTGAAAATATAGGCCTAACCAGGGGTAGCTTACCATTAGTATTATATCTGACAGTTCCAGCATAATGTCTGATACCAAAAGTATGATCAACCTGTGACTTCGGCTCATAAAAATTTCTATTTTCACCATGCTTTCTGGTAAGCTTGTCCAGCAAAGTTTGGTCTGTACTCTGTGAAAGTTATTACAGAGAATTGGAAACTGAGTGCCCTGAAGTTTTTTTCAATTTCAAATCTTCGATAAATCTTGAGTAAATAACAGCATAAAAAAACTCAAGATTTATTGAAGATTTGAAATTGAACAAAACTACATGAAAAAACAATAAGCTGGTGGATGCGGATGCTAGCAGTAGCTAGATCAATAGCAAAATGAGTGAAGTGGAATAAAACAGCAACACAATATGGCACAGTAAATATTGCTGTGACGGGTGGTTTATGTAATCCGTAGGGTCTGTGGTTTATGTTATCCCTAGTCTGTCACAGATTTCCCCACCATCAAGTCCATGCATCTGGAACAAATAACTGGCTAACTAATTCCAAACCCAACATAGACTGGTAACTGGGCTAAAGCCCAGCCCGCTTTATGCGCCATTTCAAGCTTTCTCTCCCCGAAATATGTAAATTCCATGTTCTCAATCAAGCCCATGCAATTAAAACAATCACCGGTAACTTGTAAACTGATCAGTAATCTTATACCCGACCTAGACAGGTAATCGGTCATAGTACATTATATGAATAAACCGTCTTATGGGCACCCCAGAGATAAATATGAAAATTCAAAATCATCCTAAATAATTTTTTTTTGACTAGAACATTGAAAAATATTCTAAGTGTGTGTATTAGAAATAAAAAGCAATCACATTTGGGAATCTTGTTTCTTCTGTGATGAGTGCCAACACATTCATTTTTTGTATTGCAATCATATCAAGAATCTCCTGAAAATGGATAAACATAAAATTAGGAAAAAACAGTTTGGAGTAGAATATTACCTAAAATTGTATTTATTTTGAGCATAGCAAAATTCATAAGCATCACATTTGGTATATTGTATTACTGACCCTAGTCTCTTGCCTATTCTGGCTTCTAAAAACTAGTAGCTTCCACGTATCAAGATATCTGTGGAGCTTGCACATGGCCTTGCTCGAAGTTGAAGGTGAAAAAATGTGTTGTATATAAGAAGATTCTGGCGCTCTAGTAGTATGTGAATCAAGATGGCAGACACCGAAACGTAGTATGTGTACCAGATTAGGGTTAGACCATAATTTGATTCCAATTTTCTTTATTTTAGTTCTATTACGAGTTTGAGGACGAGCCAAGTGACTTCCGTAGTATTGTATCTAACCCTAACCTGATACACATATTCTGATGTCGGTCATCTTGGTTCACATACTAGTCCGGCAGATAAGGGGCCCTTCTTGGCCCAAGTTTGATTTCAGACATAAAGTTTTTTTTATTTGTGATTATTCATCTTGGGGTCATTGTCCATCATTTCTACATGGGTGTGGAGTTTGCAGCCTTGAGCAATTTTTTTTACGGCTCGATATTTGTATTAGTGTTTTTCGTCAAACCTGTTCATCATAATGACGCACAACCTGAACCACCTGTTACAACACTATGTTCAGGTTGTGCGCAATCTTGGTGCACAAACTACGCAAGCACCAAATTCACTAGGAAATAAAATCAATAATTTTTAGGTATTTATTGAGATATTTGTATTAGTGTCTTTTGTCAAACATGTGCATCATAATGGCGCACAACCTGAATCATAACCTGTTACAATACTATGTTCAGGTTGTGCGCAATCTTGGTGCACAAACTACGCAAGCACCAAATTTACTAGGAAATAAAATCAATAACTTTTAGGTATTTGTTGAGCCCAGTTTGGGTCGCGACCCATATACAGTATATATATAGAAATACTGTCGAAACATACGCGTAAAATAAAGAGTACTATTTCAAAATACCCGTTTTTGTTGCAATTAACAATACAAGCCTGCTAATGCAGTCGCCAGTGGTTCAAGTGGATATACACCCGGTGGAGAACAGTCAATTATTTGTTAGCGAGAATTGTTATGCAGCGGGATGATCACGACGACGCAGTGTAAGATAATGATATCACTAAAACAAGCATGAGGAAATTGCTACATTTTATAGTATATCCCTGGGAAAGAATGTAGTTCATTCTTATGTTCCATGCCAATGCTTTTCAAACTACCAAAGACTCTAAACACTTTTGCTTCTTCTCTTCTATAAAAATACATTGTTATTATATATTCCCATTTCCATCTGTTTGTTCGTGCTCCCAAATAACCGATCAGCGGCCTCCAAGGAGGACGGGGTCCCCTTTTAAGAAACCCTGTCATAAACTAAAAGAGGCGACCGTGCTTCTTTTGCCTGTTGTCATGCTGTCCCTGGAATTCAGCTACAACAAAAATTTCACAAAAACGGAATTTTAAATTTTATGATTTTATTATTATTCTCAACAATGAATGATATATGGGTGGTAAAATGCCAAGTTATTCCAACAACATGATCATATTTTGCAATTTACAACCAATATTTCGTATGTAACTTTGTTTGACAGAGCCCCAAAAGCTCTAACTACAAATATCAAAAATGTGAGGCCAAAAAAGTCACACTACAACATTGTCAAATGTGCTCTATTTACGATAGATAACAGGTTTACCAAAAAGAATTACATGAAAAATGGTAAAATAAAGATCAATTCAGCAATATCTACTTGGTGATATGCATCTGTTGATGATTTTATGTGTTTGTTTCGGAAGTTTAATAACATAATTAATTGTGGTTGTTGGGGATGTTTTATAAAAAGGTTGCATGGAAAAAAGTTTTCACAAAATGTCAAGGTTTGATAGTAGTAGAGAAGTAGAGAAACGACTCCCATGTTTTTTTTCATTTGATAACCACGCCACAGAACTTCCCCGATAAGTATACGCAGCAATTGCGAGAGGCAGAAATGCCAAGATGGGATTTCATCGCATTGCAAACCAAAATTAGCAATTCTTATATATATTCGCGCATTCCCATCTGAACAGCGTGGAAAAGATTATACCCATCTACACACGTTAAGAACTATGTCAGATGAGCGTCATATTATCAAACATCAGTAAAGGAATAGTGCAATGGGAAAAGACATATAAGACGGAACTTTCAGTAGTATGCAATCAAATAATCTTATTGTAGAATATATATTTAAAAACATTTCGTCACGCCAACTGCAGTCCGAAACGTTTTGTCTCTGGCAGAGCTTAGATACCAATTGGCACTCCTGTAAACTGGTAAGACTGTAAGAGGCACGCGATGGAGGATATACTAAGAGTATCCATCCCCCAGCTGTCATTTGAGTGGGTACTGCTGTTTTTATTGCAGATGTTACTGGCATCACCGATTTAAGGATATTGGAAACCAACGCAATATTACAAAACTTACTTTTAACACGCGGTTTGAATGAATGAAAAAGCTGAATCTAGTATTCTTTAGAACAGCATACAAATTCTATGGAATGAAATCATACACAAAAGCTCGTCAAAAACCTATAGCTCAATAATCAAGTGGAATTTGATGCATGTGCGCAAAAATGTGCGCGTTACTACGTACAACCGAAGCACGCAGGAAAATGTGTGTGATGTGCTAGTATTCAAAACTTTGACTCGACTATGTTGGCATAACAGGTGCACATCTCGGTTTCGCATACACATACCTTCTATCTCTACAAGGATATATAAATTTTGCCAAAGTCAATGCAGCACTGAAAGGTTGGGGTTCTTCCAAAAGAAAACACGTTACACATCTTAAGATACCAGTGGATGGTTTTACATGGCCTTGTTCGGAGTGAAAGACGAGGTCAAATATTCCAATCCAATTCAACTAATGAAATATTTCCCAAGTCCCTAAGCTTAAACTAGGAAAACGAAATGCGCGCGGCAACGCAAATGTAGTTTGAAGAGCGTAATAGAAAGTGGCTAGATGCTGTCGATGGATCTTACCTAGTATTAGTGAAATAAACTACCATTTATTCTACTAAAATTGAATTTTTGACATTGTGAGGAGATTCAATGTTACCATGTATGCAAAACTAAACCATGTAGTTATGAAATAATTGTTTTTAACAAAAAGGCGCTCCTGAAGTATTCTTACCAAGATGGCGCACAACCTGAACATTGTATGTTTACCAGGTTAGGGTTCAGGATGTGCGTCATCTTGGAACGAATACTTTAAATCCCCCTAAAAAAAATTGCTCAACATTATATACTTCACACCCACCTGGGTATCATTATATATGTCATATACATTATATCTAAACAATAAAAAAAACTTTATGTCCCAAAACAATGTTAAGGCCCAATTCTGCCGGACTATACCACTACGTACCAAGATTCTGGAGATAAAAGCTCTCTGTTGTAACAGGTAATTATTCAGAACAAAATACATTAGGTGGAATGGAATACATCATGTTGAACTATTAGTTGATTCGAGTTGAACTATTGTAAATTATTAATTTGTTAACATTGGTCATAACACTATGTATAGACCAGGGGTCACCAACGCGTTGCCCGCGGGCACCAAGTCGCCCGCGAAGACCATATGAGTCGCCCGCAGGTCTGTTCCAAACTAAGCTTAATAACGGCTCTTATAAGTAAGCTACATCAATTATATTTTGTCCTGCTATTTTAGTATAAATCACACTTATATGGGAACTAGAAATGACGCTATATTAATTATTGCAACCATCAACCTTATTTTTATTTGACCTCAGTAATGTGACGGGTTAATCAACATTCTTCCAATTATGAAATCACACTGAGATCACTTTCCACGAACCCGCGCTTTTTCTCGTCCGTTGGTTAGCGGAGCGGTAATAATACAATTATTGATTCGAAAGAAAAATCCATCATTTTCATGATGAATGGGAGGTGGATATATTTATATCAACATGAAAACAGCCTGCGTGTGTCTCATTTGTGGGGCGATTTTAGCGATGGCAAAGCGGAGAGATATTTCACATCCTGTCACATAATCTTCTGCGCTAACTACCCACTGGTCAGCACAGTACGGACAGAAAAAGCTCGCGATTCAAATCATACAGCAATCCTATTTTACGAGACCATCGTTTGTTTCAACCTATCCTTTCGAATAAACATTTTTGACATAAACTCAGGATAGGAGGAGATTTACATATTTATCCCGGGGGAGAAGATAGCCGATAGGGCGGCTTAATCATATGACAAACCATGGCTTCTCGCCGGTTACCATTCGATGTCGGGTATGGGATTAGTTAGTTATTTGTTTTCGGAAGCCTGGACTTGATGGCGTAGAAAGCCTTAACCGAACAGCGGTTACGTGAACCACACTAAGGCGGGGAGGAGTCCAGCAATCCTTTCGCACATAACTATCCCCGCATCGGACTCTAACCTGCGAACCTAACGCTTAACACGATGGGCCATAGCGTCGCGACTCACTCCACCAGGAACAAAAATGGAACACGCCTCACTGATGAAATCTGCAAGACTCGCTCAGAGTTACAGTGCCAAGTTACACGTCGGAGTATAATACTCTGCAACATTTGATAGTACAACGGTTAAGTCCATTTTATCTTAGACTTGTGCAGAGTGTTGAAAATCAATTTGAAAATACTCAGTTTTGAAATACAAGTGTTATTGATAGAAATTTATTTGCAACGTTGTGATAATCGTTTGATTTCCTGAAGAATCCTAAAGTTTATTAGTGTCTATACTTCACTAAATACCAGTAATTATATCAATAATTGAAGCTTAATCGAGCAACTGATTTTTTTAGAAGTGTATATTGAACTGGTAGCCCGCAGCTTAATCTGTACCCAAAAAGTAGATCTCGGCTTCGAAAAGGTTGGTGACCCCTGGTATAGACAGTCTGATAGTTTGAAATTTTCCCAACCATCAGACTAACTCTAGACAGCAAAACAAAATAACCCTTGAGGTGTAGCAAGTGGCAAACCCAAGGTATTTGCTTATATTTGAACAATTCACACCTATTATACAGACTCTCAATTTGAATGTAAACTTGTGGAATCTCTTTACCGTACTGGAAGAATCCCAGAGTGCTGCGGAAAAAACGTAAAAATGTAAAAACCACTGGTCTAGAGCCTAGTTAAGAGGGTATGTTATGGTTACATTGTGTAAAAAAGTATGAAGTATTACCTGATTATCAGTGAAGTCAATTTGTCTCCACTTAATTTTTTCTTTATTGTATTCTTTTTGTTCAAGTTTAAAAATGTGATGAACGAAGAATTGTTGGAGTTTCTCGTTCGCGAAGTTGATGCAGAGTTGTTCAAAACTAAAAAAGAGACTTACCGTAGATCAGTCGTTCTCAAATCTTTATGTATTGATTTTTATTTACAATGCTTTATACCTCATGATCGTCTCAAGGCGACACAAAAACATGAGTTACAAATTGATTACAAATTAATAAACAAATAGACCAAATATATTACATTGGATAACGATAGTGGCCTGGAACTGTTTTTCCGAATATTTGGAAACATCATAGTCAGGTACAATTGATAAACAAAACAAGTAGTTGATTGGATTCCTGCGGGATTAAGTACTCAATTTTACTATGCCTTGGGCCGGTGGATCCGGCCTATAATGCAAGGATGCTGTAGCGAGAGTGAAGATAACTTTTCTAAATGATTCAAGAGTCTTGCTGCACACTAACACAAATATATTTATGTTATGTTTTGGTTGACAAGTCAAATCTTGAAACACACACTGACTTAATATTTTTTGCACACAGCTGTATCTCTTATGCCAACTAGCGAGAATCACTGATATAGTTTTTTATATGTGGTGTTGAGTAATACATCTTCCAACACATTATGTTAATTACTTGGTACTCCTGTAGTATGCGAACCAAGATGTCGGACACCGGAACATAGTATATGTACCAGGTTTAGTGTTTTGTGGCCATAATTTTAGGTACGAATACTACAGAAGCCACTTGGCTAGTCCCAAAACTCATAATGTAACGTAATAGGAAAAATTTGAATAAAATTATGGCCTAACCCTAACCTGGTACTACATTCCGGTGTCTGCCATTCTAGTTCGCATACTACGAGAGTACCAATTACTCTCCCCTCGTCTTTAGCACATATCGTACCCGCTAATTTCATAGTTTCAAATCCAAAATGTAAGCTGCATTAACCAATAATTTGCGCTCATTTTAATTGACAGTTCCTCCACATTAAGTTATGCTTATCTACAGCCTGAGTGATAATGTGGAGCTTCACAAAAAATTACACACAACCTATTTGATTACAAAAAATTTACCCGTTTTTTTCGAAATTTTCAAATCCAAAAATATCTAGCAATCCAATGGAGAGAAGTTTACTCTTGTCTTTTTCTCCACTGTGAATGACATTGTTAATTTTGTTGACTATCCAAATAAAGATCCGACTGTACAAGCCCTGGAAATAATGTAAAATACTACATTATGAATGTAGTTAAATGAGACAAATAACAGCCTAAAGTTCGGGGTGAGGGGGACAACAAAGGAAGTGAAACAAAAATGAAAATGCACAATAAAAGTGAAACGAATTTTCTAATTCTCTGACAAAGTTGCAGCATGATAACTTAGAACAGTGATTTAGAAACTTTTTCCATTGTAGCATACGAATATGGGAAAATTCTGCCGTGGCCCACATATACTCTAAAGTTAAGCACACCGTTTGGAAAAGTTTGCTTAGCTGGTATTGGTGTCTCGAAATGTTGCGTTTTTTTTTAGGCACACTTGTCCCATCTTTGTCCAGAACTTGTTCCCGTTTTAGCACACCACTACACTGCCACACAACCGGGGGAAATGGCTAGTATACACATGCTATGTTTAGGATTGAAAAAGGTAAAAAACTTCGAGCACATGTTTGGTGCAGGTAAAAGTTAGAGTATTTATATGACATGAAATTTATACAATTGAGACAGGTAGCACAATTGAGATAGAATTTTTGAGGCGTTCCCATGTTGCCATTACTGAAGATATCCAGTCACTATTCTCGCTACCTCACCCAGGCTGTTTAAGCCTAGATGCAATAATCCTAAAAGCATATTATTCCAATATACAGGGTGACCCCCAAAAATGCAGGACCCATACAATATGTTCCAAATGGACTGGGTTCCGTTTTTTGGAGTCACCTTATATTTATGGCAGGTTATAAGTATAAGTATGAGTTTATTTCGACTCCATTCTGGTTCTGTAGAGGTTTTTAATTATCTGACAAAAATAGAGAGTGGTTATTACAGGCATATTTATAACAAAAATGCGCAACCAGTTGAAGCAAATCCTAAAGTTTTGTGAATGTTTTAAAAGTATGTAAAAACAAATTTTATAGGGGCAATACATAAAAAATAAAAGTTCCATATTTTTATATAGACCTAGTCTCATCAACAAAATTTATCTAAAATGAGACCAACACATTTTTGGTCGTTATATATGAAACACTGTGTGTCTTAATTATCTTCATCCAACTGTTTTCCTCTATTTATCTTTTTTTCTAAATTATCACTGTGTTTTTTCTGTGCTTTAGTAAAATCGTTATAAATCTAGGTGTCGCGAACCTGTTCTGGTCTTTCGCGACCGTGTTTAGAAATTTATAGGATTATAGGTTAGGTATGCTCCTAAATAATAAATCTTTTTTAAATATAAAGGTATTTCAAAAACCTAACTGTTTCTATCACAAATACTTAGTTTACAGCAAAATGTTCTTGCGGCGAATTATCCTATGCCACAAAATTTCCTACGGAAAATTTTTCGAGAACCCTACGTGAAATCTGATTTCCTGAAGTATTTATGATTTCTTGCATGACGAAATAAAATTATCGTCTCTGGTCTGGTAATAAGATAGATTTCATATGTTGATATTGAATTTCGATTCATTTTTCGCATAAAGTTTGTGCATATATTACTATTTGACTTTTACTTACTTTTATAAGAGCATCTTTACCATCTCGTGCTTTCGAGATGCTAAAATTAAATGTAACTGTATCTTTTCCCATCTTGGAAAACCGTTGAGTAAGAGCTTTTTCAAAGTCTTCATCATTCAGCTGAATATAAACATAAATTGAAAATTCAGTTAGTTAGAATTCAATTTTTCTATTTATCCTATGAATGACCAAAGTTAATGAAATGTTATGCTTATTGGATGCAATGGCCAAGCGGTTTAAAATTGAAAAAGACTGGCCTAATACACAGCTGTGCAACAGGTACCTTTCACAAACATAACAGCCGTTTTATAATATACATGTAATAATAAGTAAGTTCATTGATTTGAAACAAATAACTGGCCAACTATTCCCATAACCGACATGGATGGCTAACCAAGAGCACAAGAGGTCATGGTTCACCATATGATTAAGTAATCTTTTTGGTTTTTCTTTTCTCTGAGACAAATATAGAAATTTTTTCCCATTCTATACAACAACATACATGAAGAACCTCAGCTAAAAACACAAAACAGAAACACTGTACAATGACGATATGTATGATATGTCAGTTAGTGACACTTTCATATTCTAAGTTTCGGTATGAAAAATCCAAGTCAGGTTAATATAGACACTTACTCCTAGTAAATCACTTGCTGTTTCAACTCCTGTGTTGTGGACAAGTTCACAGGCATCGTCTTCGTTGTCAAGCCCTTTTTTCTTAAATTTGAAATTCCCTAGAAATATATGAGACACAATATGATTGATTCAAAGGTATTCCAGAGGTATGCGCACCAAGATGTCGCACAACCTGAATCCTAGCCGGTACAGACATAATATGTTCAGGTTGAGCGCCATCTTGGTGCGCATAGTTCTGGAGGTCCGATTTAAATATAAAGGCAGTTGCCGCATCATACTAAGCTCGAGAAATACACATGCAACCGCACCCCTGATAACATTGTGCAGTTTCGAATCCCGTCAGAATAACCATAACCAATGAGGTATAACTAGGGTTACCATATTTTTTTGACTCCAAAGCGGGACGCCTCCAAAGACACGACCCCTTAGCTGTGATCCTGTAACTTTACAGTTTCCGGTTTTACTACATAGGTCTACATTTAAAGCCATCCCCATATTCATGTGATACGTTGGCTAACAATGTTAGCGGGAGCAACAAAACATACAAACTAACGCATTCACCTTCAGTAAGTAGGCTAGCGTTGCTATACACAGCAATAACAGTAACGAGAACATGTTCGTGTATTATGCTAGATGACTAAACGCCGAAGCGGGACTTCTGGCTGACTTGTCGGGACGGCGGGACAGAACACTAAAAAGCGGAACTGTCCCGCCTAAAGCGGGACGTATGGTAAGCCTAAGTATAACCAATAAGGAAACTGGGAGGTTATGAATGCATCAACTCAAAACTACTACATGTTCAATATTACTTTATTGGACTTACCAACATGCAATATAGCTGCGAGCAACTTATAAATTTGATTGATGTCATCCTCCGATATTGAAAGATCCTGAATGTGATATGAATTCATGAATATTTTGTAAATTTATCTCAGAGAAATAGAAAAACAACAGCTTAAGGTTATCGGAATAGTTAGGCAGTCACATTTTTCAGATGCATTGACTCGATTCTAAAAGAATCAACCAGCAATTAGGTGAACCATCCTAAAATGGCAAGGGGGCCTAGCAATCCACTTACACATAACACTTCCTATGGACCTATGGGATTCAAATTTGCGAATCACGCGTAGTAATCAGAATGTGTTCCCAATACTCAATAGGATGTGCCGACTGCGAGCCATCCTAATCATATGGTGTGCCATTTGTGCCAATTATATGGGTAAAGGTGAGTATATACATACCTAAGTATAGAATTCTATGGACAATTTATAAAACAATTTTATCATCTCTTTAAAAACAATTTACAGGGTATGAGTAGTTACAGGGCACAGTAGCACCAGGGAATAATAAATGAAGTTTGTAATGACAAATTACCAAAGGTCAATGGTGTTTTGTTTCTTTAATGCAATCCTAGTAAATTTACTATCTCCAGTAAGTAATATTTAGTTTGATAATTGGTACGGTACTTGTCGTCAAAACAGTAGTTTCTAACTCTGATATTTCCATTTTCATTCATATATTTCAACCTTGGGTACCACTGCTCGATAACTAGCTATGGTTCCTCGCGACCTCCCTTCCCCGGTAAAAATGGGTATTTATCTTTTTTTTTTACTGGTTCGAAAAAATAAACCTGACTTGACATAAATCGGGCTGCTGGTAATAGACTGGTTTGGATTGATGGGCGTATAAACTCGACATATAAGAAAGTTGGGCAAACTTCTCTGCGCAAGTTCGACACATTGCTCAAACTATTTCAAAATAGAATTATAGAACTCTGCAAACAATATTTGAAGGTTCCAACATAATTCAAATAAATAATAGCTTTTTATGTATCATAGGCTGTTTTAAACTTTAAACCTTGTTTAGCTTAATATTTGGGGGAAAATATTTGGAACGTTTTTTACATACCTTCATTCCACTGACAATATTTTCAAACTCTAATTTGTCATCTCTTCCATCAAACTCTAGACATGATCCCTGGAATGACCAATTAATTTTAGATCAATAACCCTTCAAGATTGTGTTATTCAGTGGCAATCACGTAATTTGGTCATTGGATTCAATAGCCGAGAAAAGGGTGCTGTCGTAGTATTCGTACCAGGGCATTTTCCCTTAAGGATACGTTGCCTTAATTAATCCCTATACTGGTACATATAATACCTCTGGGGCGTCAAGAAAGGTTGAATTCAGTGTTATTTGTTCCTACCTTTATCCGAGTTAGGTATAGGTAATCTGAAGGTTCTCCGAGTCCAAATTTTTGTTTCTGCTCAGAACTCATTCCAGCCAACATACAGTAGAAAATATGGTAGTTTCTCTCTCCATTAGCTTGGTAGACAATTCTGTAAAAACTTTAACCTTGATTCAGAACTTTGATTTCATATAGGCCCTTAACAAGCGACCATTGAAATCTGATGATATGTAAGATATCATACATGTATGATATTTCGGAAAACTGGGATTTCGTAGTTTATTTATTGTACTGGGTGAGGAAGAGGCATGAAATTTGACGCAAAGTTGTGTAAAATGCGATGCCAAGACAGGTCTAATACTTCAATATATGCTTCGATTGGTCTATATGCAAATGGACTGTGGATCACAGATAGTATACTATTGATATTTCAGGTTCCATGATGGTCGTAGAGATTTATGGAACTTCAGAAGACAAGCTATTCGTTTCCGAAATGACCTGTTTTTCTTAAGTGTGCTGTGGAGCTTTATGGAATTTTAGAAAACAAGCTATTTGTTTCCGAAATGACCTGTTTTTCAAGCATTGTTTCTCGAAAAAACTTTGAACGAGTTTTGGTTTTCTGCTTCCTATTCAAAAATCCATCAAAATAATCTTACCATTTGCATGTTCATGGCTCTGTGAACATGAATTTTCTGCACTGACTAAAATTGACAGCAAAAAAGGAAGCGACAGAACCTTTTTCAAAAACAGGCAATTTCATCGCATTAACATTTGCAGAATAAATTTGTTCAAATTGAACTTTATCTTTGTACAAATGTGCCGCAAAATTTTTTTATTTGCTCAGTGCGCCGTAAGCAAAAAGTGTTAAACTTGACTGTTGTATTGGCATCGCATATCATGCACTCTGCACGCACTCTCTCTACTATGCATTCAAATTCCATGTCCTTCACCCCAATAAAATTGTTTAGGCATTGCTAAATGTTTTGGCCCATTCAAGTAGAAGTAACATTGGAGTATTTGAGTATTTTGGAACTACTAAAATCTTTCCAGTTCAACATTTCCTACCCAGTTTGCCATTACTGTTTAGTCTAACTCAGTGATTCTGTAACTTTTTGAGTCGCTACACTGCACAGATTTTAGGGGTCCATGTCTAGCCCCGCACAAATTAGAATTCTACCAAGAATCGAACGAAATAAACATTCATTCAAATCACCTTGATTTTTCGACTAAATATTGTTCAATATGTGCTCCCATGATGACTCCTTTTTTTGAAAAATTGATCTTGATAAATTTTCCGAACCGACTTGAATTGTCATTGCGAACAGTCTTTGCATTTCCAAATGCTGAAAAATTAAAATCAAAGAGAAGCATTCAATTATGTACGAAGGAAATTAATTGGAAGCAAATGTCCAAGCATGCAAATGCCAGAAAGTCCAAATATCCATGGTTGCAAATGTACATGAGTGATAAAGTCTGCGGGTACAAATGTATGTGCAAATGTTCGTGTGTGTAATTAGCTGTGAATGTCTGTGAAATGCAAATCTATGTGTGGGTAATGTATGTGTGTGCAAATGCTTGCGAATGTAAATGTCAGAGTGTGTACCTGTCATGGGTACAAATATCCTCAGAGGGAAATGTCTGTGGGTGCAAATGTACATGGGTATAAATGTATGTGTGTGTGCAAATGCATGCGGGTGTAAATGTCGGAGGGTGTACTACCTGTCATGGGTACAAATATACGCAGAGGGAAATGTCTGTGGGTGCAAATGTACATGGGTATAAATGTATGTGTGTGTGCAAATGCATGCGGGTGTAAATGTCGGAGGGTGTACTACCTGTCATGGGTACAAATATACGCAGAGGGAAATGTCTGTGGGTGCAAATGTACATGGGTATAAATGTATGTGTGTGTGCAAATGCATGCGGGTGTAAATGTCGGAGGGTGTACTACCTGTCATGGGTACAAATATACGCAGAGGGAAATGTCTGTGGGTGCAAATGTACATGGGTATAAATGTATGTGTGTGTGCAAATGCATGCGGGTGTAAATGTCGGAGGGTGTACTACCTGTCATGGGTACAAATATACGCAGAGGGAAATGTCTGTGGGTGCAAATGTACATGGGTATAAATGTATGTGTGTGTGCAAATGCATGCGGGTGTAAATGTCGGAGGGTGTACTACCTGTCATGGGTACAAATATACGCAGAGGGAAATGTCTGTGGGTGCAAATGTACATGGGTATAAATGTATGTGTGTGTGCAAATGCATGCGGGTGTAAATGTCGGAGGGTGTACTACCTGTCATGGGTACAAATATACGCAGAGGGAAATGTCTGTGGGTGCAAATGTACATGGGTATAAATGTATGTGTGTGTGCAAATGCATGCGGGTGTAAATGTCGGAGGGTGTACTACCTGTCATGGGTACAAATATCCTCAGAGGGAAATGTCTGTGGGTGCAAATCTATGTGTGGGTAATGTATGTGTGTGCAAATGCATGCGGGTGTAAATGTCAGAGGGTGTACTACCTGTCATGGGTACAAATATCCTCAGAGGGAAATGTCTGTGGGTGCAAATGTACATGGGTATAAATGTATGTGTGTGTGCAAATGCATGCGGGTGTAAATGTCGGAGGGTGTACTACCTGTCATGGGTACAAATATACGCAGAGGGAAATGTCTGTGGGTGCAAATGTACATGGGTATAAATGTATGTGTGTGTGCAAATGCATGCGGGTGTAAATGTCGGAGGGTGTACTACCTGTCATGGGTACAAATATTCTCAGAGGGAAATGTCTGTGGGTGCAAATCTATGTGTGGGTAATGTATGTGTGTGCAAATGCATGCGGGTGTAAATGTCAGAGGGTGTACTACCTGTCATGGGTACAAATATCCTCAGAGGGAAATGTCTGTGGGTGCAAATGTACATGGGTATAAATGTATGTGTGTGTGCAAATGCATGCGGGTGTAAATGTCGGAGGGTGTACTACCTGTCATGGGTACAAATATACGCAGAGGAAAATGTTTGTGGGTGAAAATGTTCAGGATGCAAATGCCTGTGGAACCAAATGTCCACGAGTGCGAATATTCTTTGGTTGAAATGTCTATGAGTGGAAATAAATATAAATTGGTACAAATGTTCATCCATGGATACGAATGTCTGTAGGTGCCAATCTACATGGATGCAAATGTTTGCGGCTTCGAATGTCCAGTTGCAAATGTCCACGAATTAATGTAATTATTAATGTTCACCTACAAATTTGTTTAAATTTTGAGCTTCAACAATTCAATATACATAGGAACACTGCATTACCTTCCAGCACAGGATTCGCTTTCAATAGTTGTTCTTCAATATGGGAATGTTGTCCAGATCGTGAAGTCAGGTATTGAAGTATAAACTTAGTTGACTCGGTTTTGCCAGCTCCTGATTCACCACTGAAAATAATTGAATGTTTCATTATCGCACATGAAGAGCAAATATGGATCGTTTCGCCTAATTCTTGTAGTTATTACAATGTAGGCAGGGTTAATTATGTGGGACAAGATTGCTGGACACCTCGCCGCCGTGGGGTAGTTCACGTAGTCGCTGGTCAGTTACGGTCCCCTCCACCAGCAAGTCCATGCACCTGAAAACAAATAACTGACTAACTAACCCCATACTCAATATGGACTGGTAACCAGATGAGAGGCCAGGGTTTGCTATATGATTAAGCAGTCTCGTTGACTTTCCTCTCACCCGGGATAAATATGTGAATCTTATCCTATCCTTATTGCTGTTTTTGCTGTTGTTCGAAAAATGAAAGTAATGTAATATTAGATTCAAAATTTTAACTCTTTATTTATTACTTGAAGATGTAAAGCGCTATGACAGTCAGACAGCCAAGTTATTTTTCCAACATGTATTAAAAAATCGATCGAACACAAATTATCAGAAAATGATAGATATACAGTTTTGCTCGAGAAGAGAAAACTGCGGCAAACCAACGCTGGTTATCAATTAGGAAATCCAAGGTTATGTTATCTAATAACAAAATTTAAAAGACCGAACGCTGAGCTCAATGATTGCGAACAACAATATAATGGATGTACGGTTTAAAAAAAACACTCCTGCCACATTTTAAATAGAAAAATTAGTAATTATCCAGTTTGGAATAAAGTTAGGTATGATTTAAAAATTCTAATATCCAGCGCAATCTGAATTCCTAAACCTAATCCTAACCCCAACTGGATATTAATTTTTTTTATATTAAGATGTGGCGGAGGTGTTTTTTTGTTGTTGGGAACTTCGTATAAAAGATCTGACCCTCGCAATATGCACAAACACATCCACAAGTGCAAAACCATAGAAAGAGGAAAGGCTGATACCATATCATTAGCAAATTTGTTAAAATTGACCCTGATTATAATGAATTATGTTTGACCCCTAATTGTATTTATAGAGAATGATGATTTATATCACAAAGTCCTTAAGTGTTGGGTAAACAAGCTGAGTTCTTCGAATACTTAGAATAAAAGTAGCTAAGCAAAGTCTGTGTCAGGTATCTCTATTTAAATAGTATGATAAGATGCATGCCAATGATGAGGGGAGAGTTACAATTGTAAATCATTTACAAATTACTAAGAAATGTTTGAGCGTATTAAATAATACGTGGGTGTCTCACTGATAAGGTAATTTGAACAGATGTTATGTTATTTTCACTTTTTGTTGAGGGCTCATTACCCTATTTCAATAAACTTATATAAAATACCTGTAATCTATTTTTATACAGCGCCAATTTACGCCTTTCCCTCCAAACCAGTAGCCACTGATATCTAATGATATGTAAAAGCTGTTGAAAGGACTGGGATTTTTCTAATTATACCTTTGGTGAAGTGTGCAGGCATGGGATTTAAAGTCAAGGTAAGCTTCAATCAATAGACCAAGGGTTTTTAAACCTTTTCGTGGAGCAAAACCTCAATAAAACATTTGAGAGGCTTGAATAAAAGCCTGCACAATAGCCTAATTGTATTAATTGTATAGACTATAAATATATCTAAATGCAGACCTAATTCCGCTTAAAGCAAATAGTCTTCAAAATGTAGCAAGTTTATTAATAGTGGCATGTATTTCATAATTTTTAAAGAATATACTTATATCAATTTAGACTCTTGGATTTGAATGGAAACTTGCTGAACCATTTATTTCTATGTATTGCAATCGACCCAACACTTTGATTTGAGCAAACATGTTAAAATATATACAGTAATTATTAGTATGCCAGTGAATTTGTCAACCACCCCTAAAATGGTCAATTATTGCCCCACAATAATTCACAGCACACAAAAGTGTTATTTTCCATTCACAGAAGAATGATAAACCTTCTGTCTTAAATGTACGATTTCGAAATACAAAATTGTGATGCTATGAAACCCAGAAACGCTGGTGAACCTAACTTTTAGTATGCCCATGCTCGCCATATCACCCAGAGTGTATTGAATTTGTAGGCAATTCTGAAGACGAAAGACTGCAATTAGTCACAGTTTCCTATATGTCAGTGTCTACTTGTACAGGCCTTGTTCGGAAACAAGGTATTGTGAATGCCGCATGAAGAAAATTGAAACTAAATTCGCAAATTTGGCGTTCATGTTTTGATATTAAAATTCAAGTCCAAAGAATAGAATTTGGAGAAAAGAATTTTGAACTGCCGTTTCGAATTGTATTCATTCATTTGGATATTCAACTCACAACCATGAAATTGTCTCTTTGAAAAAGCCCTCGTATAAGCTTTCCTCTCTCATTATATAATTATGAAAATTCTATCCTATTATAAGCCATGTGCTCAGTCCTCATTGCCGAAATTCCTGTTGCATGAGAGACTGCTTGCTCAGAGCCTTGTTTTTGAAGAACAAAAACTAGATGGAAATGAGTCTTGTTCTGGCTCTGATTATAACCAAAAATAACTTAATTAAGGGTGTGATATACCAGACATATAGAATTCTGCCCTTCCAAAAATAGTAGCCTGACATATAAGGGACTGCTGGTTCAGAGCTTCGTTACAAGTATAAACAAAAAAACCTTACCTTACAATCACACATTGGTCTTTCTGGGTCTTCTGCATGTTGAAGTAAGCATTGTCTGCAATTGCAAATATATGTGGTGGCAATTCTCCGATTTGTTTGTTTGTGTACATCCGGATCTGGTCTGCCTCATACAAGGGAAGGATTTGATAAGGATTGACAGCCACAAGGATTGAACCAGTGTAAGTCTGAAACACAGAAATTTTGTGAACTTATATTGCTAATTAGAAGATTTTTCACACTATTTAAACCAGAGTTCTGAACTGGGGAACTTAATCAGCTTCAAAAGTGTCATTTTCAACTGTTTGTATCAGGGCGGTGGAGTAAAGCCTGCCGTAACAAATGGGTTAAGTGCCTGACAGCTAGCGACTGGCATTATATTTAGAATTTCGATAAGTATGTAAGATTTATGTGGCACGTGTCATGTTAGAGTAACTTACATACTCTTGCATAAATCAGTGAATATGATGTTTAAGTTGTTCATATCACATAATCTTATGTCACATTCGACAACGTTTGCGAGTAAGAGAATCTGTTGTTGGCAAGTTTGAAACAAAAAGAAGCCTGATTTTCAAGACTTGTTGTAAATAAAAGTGTTATCACATTACCCATTAAAACACAAGGGAGAACCAATAACCGAAGGAAATACCATTTTTTAGACATGGTCAACCGAATATATTACCCTTAATTAAACCGCAGAAATATAAATTGTGAGGCTGACTTTGTACAAACAGCGACTGCTATGTAAACAGCTATTTTATATTGAATGGACTAGAATCTTATGGTTTGCAACTGCATAACCAATCATTACACCTGGGTCTCTAGTAGAATCGACTATGTTGTCATCACTGGTTAAAGATAACGGGTTGAAATTTCATGTTCAACTCACAAAACTTGGTTCAGAGTCAAAGATAAGATAAAATATTCTATATAAAATAAAATTCTATCTGTCTTATTATTTTCTTTGGTATAACTTACAACACTTACATAAATTTCGTTTTCATTATATCTCATAAGTAAATTCCTGAGAATTCCCCCTTCATTCATATCGCCAAGTCTGATCATGTCCTCAACTCCATCTACAGATGTTGAATGCATCAGTTTGATTGATGAATCCACATCTAACCATCTTTCCTAAATTTGTATCAAACATATTTTGCTTCAATATACAAAAAATGAAATCAACAGGATCCTGAGACTATTTCTAGAATATATTTTAAAATATAAATTCATAGAAGCGCAATTGATTTTTGGTAAAATTTCAAGCACGTTTTCTGGTTATGCATACATAGCTATGCCCGACTGAACCATCGGGAACAAACCAAAGTCTATGGGAGTTTGAAGAAAAAGGGATCCATTAGAGGGCTAAGGGATCCAAAGGGTGGCATGATGAGCATAAAGTACCAAAATGAAAGGATCCTCCATTGTAGCATAGCTTGCAAAAATGTCAAGTTAAGGGCAACTCTATATGCTCGGAAACTGAGTAACAAAAATCAGATTTGTATGAACGAATTTTCTTGGAGAATTCTGCCTTTTGAGATTGTTTGTCTCTGAGTAACAGGTAAATCATGGCCACCACCTCCCCAAAACCAGGTATACCATGCTTCCACCACCTCAGAACCAGATGAAACATGCCCCCACCACCTCTTGACTTCCCGTCATGTAAACCATGCCCGTCACAACCTCCAAAACCAGGTGAACCATGCCCACCATCACCCAAAACCAAGTATACCATACTCCCATCACCCCAGAACCTGATAAAACATGCCCCCACCACCTCCTGACTTTGAAACCAGGTAAAGCATGCCCACCGCTTCCCCAAAACCAGATGTAACATGCCCACACCACATCCTGACATCAGAAACAAGTAAACCATACCCACCCCCTCCACAAAATCAAATATAACATGCCCACCATCTCCAAAAGACCAGATAATCCATGCCCACCACCGCTCCAAAATGAGGTGAATCATGCCCACCACCTCCCCAAAACCAGATAAACCATGCCAACCACCTCCCCAAAATCAGGTGAATCATGCCCACCACCTCCCCAAAACCAGGTGAACCATAGCCACCACCGCTTCAAAACCAGTTTAACCATGCCCACCACCTTCCCTCAAACCAGATAAACCATGCCAATCACCTCCCCAAAATCAGATAAACCATGCCAACCACCTCCCAAAAATCAGGTGAACCATGCCAACCACTTCCCCCAAACCAGCTAAATCATACCCACCACCGCTTCAAAACCAGTTTAACCATGCCCACCACCTCCCCAACCCAGATGAACCATGCCCAACAACTCCCCAAAACCAGGTAAACCATGCCCATCGTCTCTCCAAAACTGGATAAACCATGTCCAACAACTCCCCAAAATCAGGAAAACCATGCCCATCGTCTCTCCAAAACTTGATAAACCATGCCCAACACCTCCTCAAAACCAAATAAACCATGTCCACCACCTCCCCGAAACCAAATAATCCATGTCCACCACCTCCTCAAAACCAGGTGAACCATGACATTCAAATAGAGATAATTAGTAGAGACTATATTGAAGAGTCAAGACACACAAACCTCTTTCTCGTTGTCTACTAATACTTGGATTTTATCACCTTCTCTTTCTTTGACCACTGCACCCAACGGTACCGAACAGTTAGACTGAGGGTCTTTATCCGGTAACCAGATATGAACGCCCTAAAAAGTGTAAAGTAAGTAAAGTAATAGACGCCCTAAAGTGCGAGTGAGTCCAGGAGTGTTTACATTCAATTCAAAGAGTCATTGTCAGCGTTCCTCAAACTTTTTACACCCGGAACGCCTTTGCTTTTTATCTCACGCCGCGGAAAATCAAGAAATTAGTAAGAAAAATTGATAATAAAAAAATTTAGTTATAGCCATGGCGACCAATTTAGTCGCAGTTTTGAGCATTGTTTTGTAGAACACTCCGGAAGAGCTCGCGGAACTGCAGTGTTCTGCGTAACACAATTTGAGAAACGCTGATCTATATTACTACTTATCCATTTTAATCGGTAAGTATGTTGATAGGTATTTGTCTGTCTGTCTGTTTGTTTGTCTGTTAGATGCACGCGATATCTCACAAAAGCGAGATTGAATCTGCTCCAGATTTTGCATGTGCATTCATCATATGTCGTACCAGAAGCCTATTGATTTTGGATGAATTATGTAGTATAATTAGCGAGTTATTAATTAATTAGTGATGGGACACAAGGTGTCACTACGGAGTAAGAGCGCTGTTTTGGGGATCCCCTAACTTTCGATCGATAAGTCTTCGGTCTCTGACTGGTATTCTCGTATTTGTATATTGTAAATATCATCAAATACTACAAATTAGATTTGCCATTATACGTATATTTCAACCTTTTAAAGATCATTTAGTTTTGCCAGTATTGGGCCTGTTGCACGGTGGTTTTCCGAAATGTTTCGTTGGTTCGGGTTCTGTCCCACCAGAAAAGGTTGAGAGCCACTAATGTAGATTATAGACAACGTAGGACGCAATAGCCTGGTTGTTAGAGCCCTGAATTAGCTGATCTGGTATTTTAAGTTTGAAATCATGGGTTCAAACCGATTGCTCATCGGAAGTCAAAATGGATATAAAGCAGTGGTGGCATTGTTTTTGAACCGCAGGCCAAAAATTTCGCCTACCCAAACTGGCGGGCCATGCGAATGTGACGCAAAAAGTTACATTTTATGAACAATACTTACAGTGTTAGGAAATTGAAAAAGCAAAAATCTGTAAGCATCATGCCAAAACTAAATTTAATCACAATCTCAACAAATTACTGGAGTTATCTAAGACATCAAAATTTGATTTTAGTTTAGTTGTGACAGCAACGGGCGGGCCAGATTGAATTACCCAACGGACCCGCGCGCCGTAATTTTCCCACCACTGATATCTCATAGATCTAGCCGAAGTATAATAACTTCCTAAATGACGCACAACCTGTAACGGGTGATCTTTTGTGGTATTTATATCACCATTTACAAAAAATTTTCTTTTAAACTACGATGGCCTAGCGGTTGAAGTGTTAGATCTTAGATCAGGAACCCACGGCTCGCGAGCCATATATGGCTCTTTTAGTGACGGCATATGGCTCCCCAAAAAAAAATCTGATATTCCGAGGCTAAACATTGTTACCAGATTTCAAACAAAATAGTTATAGCCAAATTTGGCAGAACATTTGCCAATACATTTGAGAACATGAACTTAGCGCCTATCTAAGTTATGTGCGAGAAGTGCCAAACAGACATTGTGACAAAACTGAGGGATTCTAGATCATTTTTGTGACATCTTGAAGGGATAAAATTGCGGACCAATAAAGAAAAGCCTTCTGTCCGTTTGTACTGTTTATTTATTATATTATTATTTCAAAGCACTGTGGAGATGCCAAATAAAAAGGAAGGCGATAAGTATCGTGTATTTCATCACGTGTTTCATGTGAGCACTCGCTCAAGACTCCAGCGACAACATGTTGTTTCAGAGGTCACATTAAATGTATATTGAGACATTGTAAAAAAGGACATGATTAGGGAAAGAAAAATGCTCTATGGCTCGTACGGAAATGCAATTGAAAAATTGTACCTTTTATGGCTCTCTTGGCCAAAAAGGTTCCCGACCCCTATCTTAGATCTACATTTTTCAAACGGGGAAATTTTTTTTCTTGTATTATGTTTTATTCTGTAGTATGGCTAATATTCTTTCGTATTTGTAATATAGCTATAATCAGGGATTCCATATCGTCCTTATTTCTAAGATTTGTCCTTATTTTTGACTTTTTTTTAGCTTGCGGCCTTATTTTTGGCTTGTCTTTTTTGGACTTCATAAAGGAAGCTTTGTTGTTTGTTTTATCGCCAAAGCTTTATTGCGGCATCATAAAAGCAACACAATCTTATTTGGAACACAAAAAGACAAGGCACAGATAGGCATGAAGCATTGTTAGTGTGGCGGCCCTTAAGTTTTGTCGTGGTGGTGGTTATTTTAGCCTAAATTTAAAAATGAGCAAATATAAGAAAGTTTTTCGTGATGATTACGGGAAATAATTCAAAGTTAAACGAAGCTTGAAGGGTGAGTGCTCCGCACACTGTAACTTCTGTAATTGTGACATTAACCTGGAGGCCATAGGAAAGCCAGCTATTTCTGCTCACAATGCGGCAATTTTTCCAGTCGTCCTCATTTTGGGTTCCAGATCGATGGAATCCCTGGCTATAATACTTATGAACTTCTTTAGAACTGTACAAGTTGTTGAGCGGGGTGCGCATTAGGCGAGGATTCATTAAAATTATACAAATAAAGTAGTTTTATGCATAGGAAGAAAAGAATGGAAATTCCAAAATAGGCAAAGGTAGGAACCAAAAAAGGTTGGGATTCACTGTGTTAGATTAAGCTGTGTCAGCATCGCAGATTGCACATGTGGGGCTTAAATCTCATGCTCACCGCCTCACCCAGGGGTCGGCAACCTACGGCCCGCGGAAAAAAAAAATCTGGTCCACGACGCGTTGTAGTAACAAAACAGCTTGACGATTATATTCTTTACGTAACAGAATTTATTGTGAGACACGTGTATATTGAATTATATTATAACCTAACGAGTATATAATTCAAAATTACTCGATCAATGAGCCTATAATTTAAATATAATTAGACAAATGGCAACAAAACGTAGAAAAGTTGAAGCCAAGTGCCAAGGGTTCAATGGTGCCAAAAATATTCAAATGAAACTTTTGAGATAAAATGCAAAGAGGGAATATATTTATATTTTATTCGAGAGATATATCACTGCTCGATTTTTATTACAAAAAGTATCATCCGTTCGGTTTTAATTTTCTAAAAATATATGCGGCTCGTCAATGTCTTGCAAGTAAGAAAAACTTACCTTTTGTATCAGTGCCATCGTGGCCTCTAGTTATCCGTAGCCAGGGCGGTCCTAGCTATTTATTGTAGGTCTTTATGAGCAATAAAATACGCGGCGCCCAGTCTGGGTAGAGATGAAAATAATACCTGGATTTTTATTGATTTAATGACATATGTTTTATGCCTTTTAACTGAAAAAAAGATCAAAGTAACTTAACAAGTAAACACGCTGATGTATGCATGCTTACAACTGTTAATTTTATTATTTTACACGTAGAATTAGCGTGAGACCTATGCGAGTGCAGTGCACACTGCGCCACATCGGCTAAAGGCGGCCTTGTTGTTTTAGTTTCTCAAAAATTAATGTAAAGCTCCGACTGTGAGAAAATCTAAAATCGTTTAGTGACGACTTTCGCGACGCTCAAATTGCCCGAGTTCTTATTAGAAATTAACTTATATAAGACTTTTCTTCTCTCAAATTGGTCCGAATCTCATGTATAGGCCGATTTTGAGTGGCGACCTTTACTCTTAGAAAAAGGTATGAAAATTTTTACAACCACATACGATATTTAGACTCATTTTTATACTTTATTCAAACTTTCTACACTATGAATGGTTTAAATCAGGTCTGCGTAGTAATTTGATACGGCCCGCCTAACTCAATGAGATGGTTTACTCTTTAGTTGGTACTCCCGAAGTATGTGAACCAAGATGACGGACACTGGAAGGTAGTATGTGTACCAGGTCATGGTTAACCATAATTTTATACCAATTTTCTTTATTTTATTCCTATTATTAGTTCGGAGACTAGCCAAGTGACTCCCGTAGTATTTGTACCTGAAATTATTGCCCAGCCCTAATCTGCTACACATACTACGTTCCGGTGCAGGGTTGCCAGACCCCAGCGATCAAAAAAAGCCAAATCAAGACATAAAAAAAGCCAGAAAAAGCCAACAATTTTACTAATTACAAAAACCCCATGATTTGTCCGATTTTAAGCCCTTGGCAACGTAGTGATGATGATGTAGAGCAATCAGTTCATTCAGTGAGGCACACAAATAGAAAGTAAAGTTCCTATAGAACTGTAGGAAGTAAAATTAATATCAAGCGGCAGCATTATTTTACCATTCAATATATACAATTCAGGGTGCCGCTTCAGTCTGTCAGTATGTAATATACCTACAATATGTTTCCACTTAAACTTGTGCTACACCTTAAAAAATTCTCCCTATATCTTACTTTACTATTGAAAATTTTTTCACTTTTAAAATTTATAAACCATCAATTTTATTAAAAAATTATCTAACCCCCTGCCGCTCACAGGTGGACCACTGATATCTAATTTTAGTGTAGTTAATCACATCGTTACTGCAAATGCAATTGCAGAATTAAAGTAAAGCTGAAAACTCACATAAACCATATCAGGCATAATGAAAATTGAGTTATACAACTATTTTTTGGAAACAGAACGTAAACTGACAAATAACACGCAAAACTATAAAAACGAGGCAATGTTTGCAACCCTGCTTGAACATCTGTCTAAGCAGCTGCAGAAACTGCACTTATTCCTTATTGGGTATGGTTAAGAGTTAATGTAACAAACAAGGAAATCGATGCTCCAGGAAATCCTAATGTTAAGTAGCTAAGTACAGGTAATAATAGGCTATTGTTCTGTTGTTACAAAACTAAATATTGTATTTCATATGATTTTAATAATAGACACTAGAATAGACTTGAAAAAAGCCAAAAAAACGCCAAAAAGCCAAACGGAAATTCTGACGCCAAACGCGTTTGAAAAAAGCCAAAAATGGCAAATTTGGCGTTAAAAAAGCCAATATTGCAACCCTGTTCCGGTGTCTGCCATCTTGGTTCACATACTTCGGGAGTACCCGTTAGTTTACCGATACTACCTATTGTTATGTCATTATCACAGTTTGAGCACTTGTATATTCGTTAATATATTATACAGGCATCTTAATTATATGTGACGTCGTAAAGACGTAATTTTTAGATGACGCAGTCAGGTGAGGGTTAGGATCAACATATGCATAAATTGTTATGCTACGCCCACTGGAAGTATTTTAGGTTCGAAACTACACTGGACCCGTAATTCAGTCATTTCCCACCACGCGAATATCCTCCCGCTTCTAATTTCGGCCCCCGGTCAACTTTGGGAACCACGGGTTTAAATAATACAGTACACATGTTTTTTATCTCCGTTTCAACAATGTCATCCGCTATTAAATTGGACAAAGTGATATATCGACATGAAAAAAGTAAGTACTTTTTTGATTCGACCTTTCCCAACTTGTCCACTCCTGGACCGAAATAATCACGTCATGGTTAACTTTATAGAAATATATCATACGTGATTCAAACTAACAGGCTCTCCTGTACCGAACTCACTAACAACAGGCTCATAAAATGTATTTATGACTCTACGTTAGCTACCTTAACATAATTTACATAAATCCAATACGTAACTTTGAAATGCCAAATACAGCGCCAGTAGTATTTGAACACATATACAGGGTGTCCATAAAATCCTTTACAATTTCAACTTTGTTATGAAGTAAGTTCTCAATATATCTTTACCAGATTTGTTGTTTTTCAATCAATACTTGTTCAAGTATTTTTACTACATTTAATGCATATGTGAGGGTCAAAACCATATATGGTATCGATACATTCCCTTTGCAATTTTACAAAATGTTAAGACTTTTTTATGGACACCCTGTATATCACTGCATATTCCTAACATTAATGCAATTTCAAAATTTGGAATCACACTTAGTTTATTTTATAACGGGGCCATGTAATGCAATAGAATATTCGCTATTTGTATTGTTGCGCAAATCTTAAGAGTGCTTATGATTAAATAATAGCTGTTCTTGCTCCTGACAGTGTGATGTCAACAAAGTAAAGTTCATTGTACGATACAAACAACTTTCGTCACGTCCGCGGAACGTGCGATGCGCGAGATTGACGCCTACAAGGTTCCATGAGTGATATTAAATGCCAAAACTAAAACAAAGAAACCCACTATAAATAAATATTGCGGTTAATTACGCATTAGCAAAAAAGCTATTTATGTCAGACCTGAAGCCGTTCGATAGGCCTACTATCTGTGTTTATTTGTATAGTTAATATTTATAGTTAATTTCATGTCTGTTGTCCTTGTATAACTCAGCAGTCCTAAACTACTGTTATACTTGTTAGGGGTACATGTCGCACGCACATCTATGTCTTAGGCCAGTAAGGTCTTGAATGTATCCCGTTTCTGTTTTACTGTTTTATTAGTATGCAGATACTGTTACATTTTTGAGGCAAATGAACATACATACATAAATTTCAAATATATGCAGTATATAAAAAACATGGTTTTATAGAAATTCACTTCAGGCACTTTCGGGCACGATTCACGTGAGATAGGTCCCGCGAATTTTCTAGGAAATTAAATGAATTTTTCACCTCGCCTTCGTTTCGGAAGTGAGCGAAAATTGATCTACGTTAGGATTACATAACCTATGACAGGGGTGGGCAACCCCTGGCACGCGAGTTTATTTATTCAGCACACGAGAGAGGCCTCAGAAACGAGATAATTCTTCTTCAGATAAAAAGTTTCATGACTGAAATATCTGATGAATTATTTATTGTTTGTTAACAATCCGTTATTTATTTAATCTCTTTTTGTCCTTCCAAGACATTTGGCTACAAAATAATATATTATGACTTAACAAATGAGTGAGCTCTCGAGAAATTTAGTAATATAGTTCGTCCGTGCCACCCTTTTCTCCAGTTCTGCTTGATTTATGAAGTTGTACAGCTCATGTTGGTTAGATTTACCTTACTGTTATACATCGACTTCGAAATAAATATAAGCGGTTTAGGAAGGGAATACAAGAGCGAAGTGCAGAAAACGAACTATTGCGTGATTGGGATGCCATTCCCGAAACATTTTCGTGTCTTAAAAACTTTTCAACTGCATTACTCTCCATGTTTTCCTCTACATATGCTTGTGAATCTCTGTTCTCAGTTATGAACCTTATTAAGTCTTGTAACAGGAGTAGCCTAAAAGATGAAACCAGTAGTTCGTGTACTTCTTTGAAAGTAAAATATAAACCCAATGTAGAACCTCTAGCAACGGTAGTACAGCAGCAGAAGTCTCACTGATATAGAATAAGAAAGTAATCAAATCTATTTACAGGGCAGATATTTTCACGGAAAGTGAATCTGTCTGTACATGTTTAAAAGGTTCATTATTGTATATTTTTGCTTTGAAAGTATCAAAGCCATGTTTTCTAATTTTTGTCGGCACGCGGAAGAATTTAGTCGTTAAATTTAGCCGATTTTGGCACGCGAGCCGAAAAAGGTTGCCCACCCCTGACCTATGACATAGCGTTAAATCTTGGTATTTTCACGGAATTTAAAAATCCGAATTTTAGGATTTACCTAAATCTCGTACGACATCTTGCGACCACTCTTATATATTTTATACATTTTTAACGCCCTCTCCAGAATAATGGTATTTTGACGAGGATCGCGTCATTAGGAGCGACGCTCTGTGGCGTTGATAGGATACCGTACGGTAGGGTTTGCAAAATTTTCACGGACAGTCATTTTACGGCAAAATTTTCGTTTTTCTAACGAAAAACAATTACCGTATGCAACATTAAAAAAAGTTGAGAATAGATAACGGCACTTTTAAGCCAAAATATAGCTGTTTAAATTTTTTGTCCGAAGTTAGGTAATTTGACGGTACCGTACCTTAGTTTCTACGTCAATTGATACCGGTACCGGTACCAAAACAGCAAGAGGTGTTGGTCGCTTTTTCCAAGGCTGCATACTCGTTGCAAATTACATACCGTACGCCACGGTATAGCTGCATAGAGGCTCAAAAATAAAATATAAAAAAATTTCGGTAGGATGGGATTTACATAATTACGGTACCCCGTCAGCACGTAGGAGAGGTACGGTAAGACAGCTTAATCATATGGCGAACCACGGCCGCTCGTCCGGTTACCAGTCCATGTCGGGTACGGTATGGGATTA